TACTGAATTGCAAGAATTCCTGAATCATCGGTCTTGACAAACCTGATTTTTTTTTGGGAGTAGGTATCTACTTCAACCACACTCCCTAGTTCTTCCGCTTCAGGTAAAATAATACAACTTAATACATTTGATTATCAATAGCCTGGATGCCTATAGCAAAGAGGAAATACTATTATATTTTATTCTGTTTAGATAACTAAAATGAATATTCACTAAAATGTTCGACAATAGTTCATTGTATCAGACAGTGTCGATATAGAAAGTAATGTCATGCAAGAAAGTACTTCTTTTCCAATATTATGCAATACATTCCATATTATTGTTCTACGAAAATTCATCAGAGAACTCGAAGTTCATGTTTGCTACGAATGATTTTTATCATAGCAACCAGAAGACTGTCGAGAACTTTCATATGTTTAGGGTGGAATGTGAGTGATTTGTTAATCCGCGCCGACACTCACATTCAAAATATGTGTTAAAAATATTTCTTTCATTGTCATAGAATAAAAAGTAAATAAATAAAGAAATCATTTCATTTAATAGGAAAGATCCTTCAAAGTCTGAAGTTTTTAAATAAAGAATTTCATCGAAACTAATTCATAGTCAATTCAAAATAAGATGGATGAATTTTAATATATCTACGAAGACTATTTTTCTCAGTCACTTAGAGAATAGGATGTGTTTTTAATTCTGATAGTCTCATGTTTCAAGTTATACTTTCAAATTAAGAAAAATGCATAAAGCAGAATTATTTCTTCTTTAACAACAATAGAATTATTTTGATTTTATATTAAACAATAACTTCATTGAATAAATATCATTCTTTTTATTTTTTCTGACAATTTCAGATATTGACTTCAGAAAATTGTTCATTTATGGTTATCGAGAATGTGGGTGTGATGGTGTGAGTGTGTAGATATTTCTTTTGTCTTCGTCTCACACCCACACCCCTACTTAGTTTACGTTTAAGATATTGTAAAAAAAAACTTTTCATTAAAACGTATTTAACTATATTGTAAATAGACGGACAACAGAACCTAAATCAAGAGACTAAATAAAAATTTAGTATACTGCATGTCACTTATTGAAGTCATGGAATGGAACACCTGTTTATTTAGAAGATGAGAAGGAGAACTCTGAATTCTTCACGTCCAAATATCTGTAATCAAATTTCTTAAAATACTAAATAATGTTCTCGATAACGTTTGAAAGTTACTTTTGTTGGGAGAGTAGTATTGCTTTTCGATTAGTTGAACAGACACAAGTATTTTTATGTGAATGACTCTTTCTTTCAAAAACAAAAAGGAGTAACTCACTTTTGTTTTTATTATTTTTCAAAAACTTTGAAGAATTAACACGTCGTTCATAGTTTGATCATCTAAAATCTCTGTTTTTTTATTCAAAATCCAAATGAGTCAAACTATCAGAATTGAACGAAAAACAAATTTTGATCAATTGAAAACATCATTTTATTTTATTTATTAAATAAATGTTACAAGAAAAAAGATCTATATGTTCAAGCCATTTCCATTGTAAATAGACATCATTCAGTATACGTTTAACTGTAAAATAAGGAAGTAGTTTGTCACATTTGATCATTTCTTCAATATTTTCAACTATTCGATCATCTACTGTTGAAATATGAAAACATAATAAACGAAGATGATGATTATTATTGCGATTAATTTTCTTGAAAATAGTACGTAAAAACGATTGAATATCTGTTGTATTTGTACGTCCAACTTTGAAATATTCCATATATGGACAAAGTGTGAAAAGAAAATCAAGTTCTTTATGAATATCACCAATTTCCTCAAGATAGACTTTGGTAATTTGACTTGTCTGCTTCATTGAACATAAAATCAGAAATTCTTTAAGAGTTAATTCTGTTGTTTTATCTGTTGATAATGAATGAATTTTTAATGTAGTTATATTTGGTAATAGATTGATAATTTGAATTAATACTGGAATTGAGAGGTCTTCTTCGAGAATTTCCAAATAATAAATTTTTGTTATTGTTAATACACGTTCAATTTCTTTGGATCTTTCTTCGTCAAATATAGAATCAGGAATACATTCGAATGTCAAATTAATAAATGTAGAACAATCAATAATATTATCATTTGTTTCATAATACCATCCTTTACTAAAAAGAAATCAAATTATTCATTGTTTTCTATGGAAATTATTTTTCTATTTACCTATATGGACGAATTGTATATTTGATAGATATATCTTTAATTTCAACTTCAAATAGCCATTGTCGTTCAATCCAAAATGATGAAGAAAATTGATTTGGTCTTTCAGTATATATTGGATAGTTTTGTTCATCATCATCATCATCATCATCATTATAAATGAGATAAAATTCTTCTAATTGAGGAAAATAATTTAAAATTGATTGTTTCCATCGACATGCATGAAGAAAAGAAATATCTTTTGATCCAACAATGCATAAACTTTTTAAATTTGGAAATATTTTTATTGTCATAAATATTTCTAATTCCTTAAATTTTGTTAGACATAAATCCAAATAGATCGATTTTAGATTATCTAATGTAATTGATGATAATATTATAATATTTGAATCATTGTTAGATTTTATTTTATGAAGAGTTAAACGACGGAGTTGTGGTGTATAAGAAAGTAAAGATGTGAGTTCATTCAAAGAACAATAATGATCAATAACAAGATATTCAATAGGACTAAATTGATTATTCATAGCCATTGGAATTGTAATTGACTGATGAATAGCAGAAGAAACAATGCGATAATATTTCAATTTAGGTAAGACAAATATCAATCGAAAAATATCATTGATTTTTTCTTCAACATTAGATGTTTCGATTGTTAATGAAAAAAGATGTGGTAACGAAGATAAATTACTTAGAACTAGACTAACGAGGGAACCGTTCCAACTGATAAATCGCTTTTTTAATGAAAGCTGGTGGGTTATAGGTTATCGACTATGCTGATTTCGAATATGAGTATGAGGAGTGCCCTTAGGCCTTTATAGGATGGTTTTCTAGAAAACCAGATCTCTAGAAAACCAACTTTAAACTAAATTTTTGTTTTTGACCTGCTCAGGTTATAAAGCACATCAAGTTGTCTATTAATCGATATTTTCTTTTGTTTCAAATAGATTTTACGATGACATACAGTCAATGGAATTCACATAGTAGATGCATATTACTAGCATTTCACTGTACAAATAAGAAAGTTTAATGTTGTTTATTCAAGACAATCCATGCAAAGCAGGAAAAACTATTGATTTATAGGCAACTCAATGTGCTCTATAATCTGAGCAGATCAAAAACAAAAATTTCATTTAAATTAGTTTTCTGAAGACCTGGTTTTCCAGAAACCCACCCTATGAAGGTCTAAGGGCACTCCTCATACTCATATTCGGAATCAGCATAGTCGATAACCTATAACCCACCAGCTTTCATTAAAAAAGCGATTTATCAGTTGGAACGGTTCCCTCGTAAGTGCATTAGATGGAATGCCTTTAAAAACAATAGATTGAAGCCGATAAAACGATGAATCAAATGAAAATGACGATGAAAAAAAAATTAAGGATCGTATAATATAAAAAAATTACACGTATGGAAAATATTTGATGTTGATTGGCAAACATAAATCGTTTAAACATATTCATATTTTCATCATTCTTAAGTATGTGAAAACTAGTCTTTAATAATACCGATGAAGAATGAAGAAGTTGTTCAAGTCGAAAATTAAGATTTGAAAATATTTGATATAACCAATATCCATCAAGATAATCAAATATTTCACATAGTAATTCATTTGATAGATCTTCAAAACAAGTCATGGTTTGATCAAACTTATCTATTACAATAAAAAAATAAAAACAAATGAGTAATTTTATATATTCATCAGATAGATAACTTACTACGAAATTTCTTTGATTTTTCTTTTAATAAATCATCAGAACATAGTTTTCGTTTGACTTCAGTTATACTTATTGCTCAGTCTAAATTGAATGAAGTTGTTTATGAAATGAATTCTTCACTTCGAATATGCTTTTATATAATGTTCGGATAAAAGAAGAATAAGTCGTCAAGGTCAATGCCTGATAGAAAAAGCTATAGACAGAAAAGAAAAGCAAAGTAATAACGGTTGTATAACTTGATATACAATCAAATGATATTGCAAATTTGAGAGAAGTTAATTGATCAATCTATGCCGTTTGACCTTCTAAAAATTTCGTTTTTATTTGCTTATCAATTTTCTTTAAAAGACATAGAAAATTCATAATAATCATCTCTTCATTATTATTGCAAACACATTTAATTGTATAATCCACAAGTAGTTTGTCATAAACGATTAATTTTTCTAATTTTTCCATCATTTGGTCATCTCTTGTTGAAATACGCAAACATTGATCGAAATCACCGATCATTTCAATTAAAATCTCTTTTAGAAATACTTCAATATCAATATTATTGATTTGTAAATAATTCATTCGACGACAAATTTTGATAATTTAAAAAAAAGAAAGAAGTTTTAATGTAACAAGTTCATATAATACTTCTATAAAATAAATTAATAGACCAGCAATCGATATATTTATAGTTTGAAAAGATGTACCCTTGCTATTGAAAAAAAAAATTCTGCAGATGTACTGCTGGAATCACAAATTATTTAAAGCTCAAGTTTATATCAAATAGAAGCTAGTTTATTGGATAGATTAACATTTGTTATATGTTTCTCAATTTCAATTTTATACTTATCTTCGAAGGATAACTTTTTATTATATTTAATCATAATATGATGCATATCAACTAAATATTGAGAGTGAGATGAAGATGAGTATAATATATACATATTTGTGAGAAGGGCAAAATTAATCTTTTATTTTACCTATCTATAGTTATAGCACATAGAAATCTTTATCAAATATTCATAGTGACATGCTTTAACAAGCATGAAGGATTATCTGAACGAGAATCATAAAATTAGAACAAGCCTCAAACCTGTGATCCCTCCGATAATCAGTCGGATGTTTGAGGGTGTGGGTTTAGTTCTTCTCTTCAACTGCACTCTCACACCCGCACCCAACCACATCCACACTCACACCCCCACACCATAATCTAAGTATGAATTGTTAATCTTCTGTGAGAATTACCTTTTCAATATGTTAAAAGAAAATACTTTAAAATTTTTTCGTTTTCTTGAATAAGACTTTCATCAAGGAAAAATTAATCTTTTCACATCTCTGACTGAGATACTAAAATTTTTTAATTTGAAATTCTGTTTAAATAAGTATATATGATATGTAATGATCAATTGATTTGTACGATAAAACATGAAATTAATATTTAGAATTTTTTTAAGAGCTCAACATATGAAAATCTATTAAGAGTGCGACTTAGTCAAAAACCCGAGTGGATTTATATCTTGGTTTCAATAGGTGGATAATAAATATTGGTCCGAAAATTATTGAATTTACATGATGTATAAACTAAACATATATAATTCTATTCATATTATTAAATTAGGAAAAGAATATCTAAACAATCGGATTTTGAAGAATTTTTGCGTTAGAAAGATTAGACTCAACAGACAAAACTGTTATTATGAAGAGTTTGTCTATACTGAAACGCTCGCAAATATCCTTCCGATATGTTTCTTTTTTTCGAGTGATCGATAGGTTTCGAACGGTTGAAATATGTGCGAAGAGTTGATAGCATTATTGCGATAGATGTTCTTTCTCTGAGCACTCCGAACTTCAATGAGTGTCGAGCAGACGAAAATGACTGTTCAATAGGATATAGCTTTCGAGTGCTCGAAATTCAATGTGTATCGAGAGACTCGAAACTGGAACAGAATAAATAAAAAATGTATATTTCAAATTTTCGACCACTCATCGAGACTATCATACGTTTTTTGTCTGCTTGGATATGAGCTTTAATTTACCCCAAACCTACTATGACACATACTTGCGTCACTTGCAGTCAGGAACCTAAGAAATATATGACGTTATGAATCAATTTGATGTTGAAAATAAAAGGAAGCTCTAATATGAAAATAATATAAAGTTTTATTCAACTATTCATTTTTATATAATAAATGGATCAATATGAACTGGACTCTAATTCTAAATAGAATTCTTCTCTCATTTCCTATTTAATAAAATATTCAATTATAGGTAAAACGATAAAGAATTAAAAGCTCTAAAAAGCAATGTACTTCACTTTTAAAAAGACTTCTCTTTTCATTGGAAAACAAATAATAGACCAATGTAGATTGTATATTCCCACCGCGACATTTCAATCTAACGAAGAAAACCGTGATAAAGCTCATAAAAAAATTCATTAGGCTTTTTTCTAATTGATCGGAAAAATTTTCCACGAAATCGTTTACGTTTTTGCCTATATTAGAGAAGTCGATCAGATAGAGAACAGAACTCTCTTTCTTCTATTATAAAGTAGTTTGTTTTAAATATCTATTTTAATTTAAAGTGTATACTTTTGAAAAGGGCAACCATCGACATATCAATCTTTAGATTCCTATGCAAACGACAAAGTTTATCTTTTTTTTTAAAGTGAAATGCACAGTTTTGTAGAGCGTGAAATTTTCTTTCTTTTGCCATTCAATTGAACACATTGTTTTTTGATGAATGGTAAATGAGAGACAGACAAAAAATTCATTTACATCTAGTCCAATTCAATGTGACTCATTTGTTTTTAGCTTAGTTTTCTCTTCTAATAACAATAAATACTGATAAGACTATCTCTATTCAACTCCATTATAGATTTAATTCATGGATAAACTTCATTAGATGACGATAATTAATCATTGGATCGAATCGATACTTAATCTCCTTATTGGAAAAATCGATTACATCGAGAAAGAGAAACAACAAATTATGTAGGATTTACAAATCGTATTGGTTTTTTAATTTATTTTATTGAATTTGTTGATGATAGAAGAATCTATAGATGACGTTTATCACGTGTTTATACAATAACTAAACGACCATTGGGATCAAGATATACTTTACTTATTATATCTGTCATTTGAACCTCTATTAACAAATATATATATATATATATATACATTTATTTGCAACTATGTTTTTTATATTTAACCTGAAAATGATGAACTTTTTGTGTCTTTTGATCTTTCATACAGATATCGTCATTGTAAAGTTTTCTCATTTAAATGTAAAATAAAAACATTATTTTATACAACGAGATGATTTATTTTTGTATTTTTGTCAAATCTAAATATTTCTTTTCTTGATTAAAAATAAATAAATAGAATAAGATGACTTACTTCCATGGTAACTCACTCTTGAGAAAGATAGGCTGGAGACCGGTATCTAATGTCATATTCTGAAAAAAAAAAGATCTGTAGATTTTCAAGAAAGTTACCTTGACTTCACTTGTGACTGAGAAAGTCTCGAACTTGTTCTTTTCGATTATAATTGAAATGGGAAGACTTCACAAAATAAAGACAATCATTTATTGTAGTGAAAAATATCTGTGTTACAGACATTTAAACCATGTCTTCACACTTCTCTTAGTTGTTAGCGTTGATTTACTTCTTATAGCGATCTTTCGTTATATTGTTTGTAATGTTTATTTTTTGATTCACTCATGTTTGAACGAACATGGAAAAGAGTCGAATAGGTTAATCGTCATTCAAGATGTTACTTTCTGTTTAACAAACAGATTTTTGTATAAAATTCGCTTTAGTAATATTGGTCATAGTAATGACGAAATGTTGCATAATATAGATATTGACTACTTGAAATGGAGTAGATTAACTGAAGAGTTTATCTTCTCATTTTTTTTCAGAAGGACAAAATGCTGTGATACATGTAAGAGATACCTTATACAGATCAAGGTAGCTTTAATACTACGACATCTCTCTCTTTCATTCTTGTTCTTTCATCATTGATCAATAGTCATCTCATCAATAACTTTTCGTCGCACACGACAAGCGTATATTTCAAGCTTATATTGTTGTTTTCTCGTTGTTTTTTTTCATGATAACCCTGATATAAGCTTATGTATATGTATATAAGCGTGTTTGCTGATGATAATATTATTTTTATTCTGTGTTAACCGTTTATGTCTGCCAGGAAAGATCGATGTTGATAATCCATATTTTACCTCTTAATTCAGTAGGTCTCTTGAAATAGTATCTGCCGTTTGCCATTTATAGAAAGAGAGAGAAAAGAACGAGAAAGAATGCAACCACACATTGATGTGCGAAAAATCGATTTTAGCAATAAGTAAATATACACAGGCACATACAAAGAGCATTGAATAGAAACTTTTATTATACTGAAGGCAAAAATTAGCATTCACACACGTTCGTTTATCTCCAAGAAAAAAACAACGAGTGACAGAAGAGAAAAATAGAAGCTTTGAAAAGGGTAGACAAATGATGAAAGTAAGCAGCTAAGTCAACTTTATTGTCATGTCTTGTCTTGGATGAATTTAGTGACAAAAGAGTAACATACAAGCTACGCCCTTTCTTCAATATTCAGCATGTTACACTTTCGAATGAAGAACACTTCTATTATTCGAGGATTAATAAAAATAGCTTTTTAAATACATGTGTTAATGAGTCTCTTTTGTTTTTTATTCTTCGAATGTATCAGTTGAAAAGAGAAATTCACTTTATTTTCATTGTGACCATCGGAGACATTATAGAAGATATTCTCTTTATTTGGATGAACCTTTTCATTTTAGCGATACATTATGTATGTCTGTTTTAGATAGTATAAATAAAAGATGTAGTTGCTAAGGAATTATTTGGTTCCCTTATTATTCACGCAAATAACATGGTCTATAATCCAAACATAATATATTCTAAATATACGTTCTGTTGTATTTTAAGGAGAACATTGAGAATTATGTATTCTATAGCTCATAATTTCTCTGCATACTGTCATTAGTATTTTCTCTCGCTGTCTATGATTACATGTAATTATGTACTTATAGTGTCTTTCGTTCTTTTTTTTGTCCTCTATTTCTCTTGTTTTAGTCATGTTTTATGACTTTCTCCTTTCTATCACATCCTTAGTGAATGCATTTTTCTTTTTTATAATCGTTTTATATACAGTTATTCAATTCTGACGAAAAGTATGAGTAGTTCAGTATTTCGGAATAGTTTCAAGTAGCATTTGGATCTCATTATGTAAGTTTCACATTCCAAGTTCATATTAAAGTCTGAGCTGAACAGTGTTTTCTTAAAACGAATTTTCAAACAGAATTACTTGCTCTCATATGTCAAAACTTAAATGTCAAAAACACAAATGTGTAGTTCAATTTCTGTTGAAAGCTAACGCTCGTTTGTTATATTTTATGAACGCTATTTTATGATAAAAGTATCATGTTGCGATTTTATGTTATTTTTTTATTATGGTAAATCTTTTCAGATTGAACTTATTCGACTTTGTATTTACGATGTCTAAATTTACCTTCGAAATCGAAACAGATTCTGACGACGATCTTATGAATGTAATTCAAAAGTCAGAAAGTGCTTATTTATGTGCAGATGTGAAGGGTTACAGTAGACCAACTAATCTTACCGTAGATCATTTGCCGATTCTTGATGCTAAAGTTGGACCACTTTCTGTGAATGCCGCACGACAAAAGGCATACTGGCTGCTTGCTGAAATTCATCCACATCATCTTGGTAACGGTGAAAATACATCAATAAATCGTTCATTAAGTCAGGAAATACGATCCCGTGGTAAGCACGACGATGATTGTGGTCATATCATAGCTAGTTCACTAGGTGGGAAAATGGTAGATTTCAATTTGTTTCCTCAGAATAAGTCAATTAATAGAGGATGGAAAGGTTGGAGTAAACATTGGCGAAAATCCATTGAAGTATTTATTTTTTTATGGTTGAAAAATCGTTCCTTCGTAAATCCAAGAGTTGAATTTCAAGTTCGTCTCTTTTATAATGATCACAATCATCCAGATAGACCTGACTGTGGGAAGCTGTCAATAACATTTAAATTTGATCACGGGAAGTCGACCAAGGATGGAGATGATCATGATAGCAAAGAAATTCCAATGCCATTGTATGCCACTTTGAAAGGAAATTTAATGAACTTTATTGAAAATGAATTAGATTCTGTTCCGGAACCTAATTATACAACAATTAATTGGGAACAACTTTCGAAATTCAATTCTCTCAACACAATACAATTTCAAGAATTTATCTGGTTATTTCTCCATGATTTGAAAACTAAGGTATCAATGCAAGATTTAAAACCAACATCAGCCCAAAACCAGACCATTCAATGGCGATCTTAGATTTTGTACTAATTATGTATGAAACTAAATACACACGTATATTGAAATTTTCATAGGGATGTAGGTGGAGGTGTTCTTTCCATTCACATTCACATTCACACCTACACCCTCCCGTATCCACATCCATCCTTCTCATCTGTACTGATTTTTGAGCATTAATTTTTTTAAATGGGTGGTACTTCCACTAATTCTTCGTGATCAAATTAAAATCCCTGAATCTGATTTTTATAGACTGAAATTTTCGTCGATTGAACCGACTACAATCGGTTGTCGATGAAAGCCCGATTGCAAGGGGAAAAATGAACGATAATTGGTGAGGCGCATTATCGTTTCCATCAGTGTATAAATTTTAGTTGAGTTTAATAGCACTTTCGGGGAAAGTGGGAGGATCGTCCAAAAAAAGCTAGTTTTTCCATTGATAATCAAAAATAATCATGATTTTCTTAGAAGTATTTTCCACTGGGTGGATATGTAATTTCTAGATGCGTTTCTATTGTTATAGTGAATGTGAATACCGGCTCAGTGGTGCAATTTTAATAAAATTTCGAGAATAATGAAACATACTTGAAAAGTGAAATCATCAGTGGCATAAACAATTTTCAATCATAGTATATTATTATGTATGTAATAAGAGGTCGATGAAATATATTAATCTTTGTTGTCTTTAGATATAACACATGAATTTCCCTATGAAATTTTGTCCATACATTTTTTGAGGACAATCGTTGTATGAAGAAAACTTCGTATCAGCAGAGCCATCCAATCTTTTGCCTTGAACCTATACCAACATGAAACTGATAGTGATGCTTTTCGATGTGTACATTTTTCTTTTTTTTTTATGATAGATTTGAGAAAACTTTATGTTTATTGATTCAAATTTTAGGAAAAGAAAATCTGCGCAAAAAGGCAATGAAATCAGAGCGATGAGTCAAAATGACTAACTAACTAGCTGATGAACAACAAGCGAGCAGCTCTATGTATGCATATATAATAAGCGAAGAAAGAAAAGCAAAAAGTAACATATGCAATTGGCGGATCGACATTCATCACAAACCTTAAATATTTTTAATCAAAAGATGTACTATTTTATAGATGATGATCCTTGTTCTCGTTTTTCAAGGAAACTGAACACAAAAATATGCATAAAAAATATGAATTTTACAACAGAAAACACAATGAGGTCATTTTTCACTATATCATATAAAGTCAATATCTAAGGAAAATGCATGGAAAAATAACTTCATCTCTTTTTCAATCTTATTCATTTGCTTTTGGACTTTAATTTTCATAAATTTCAATATGGCTATCATCATAATCAATCAGAGCTGGGCAACTCAATTCATAGACAAAAATAATCCATCGCATTTGATACAAGGAAAATGGGTACTCCAATTCAATTCAATACGTTAATCGTTGATGTTCTTGTCTATTTGTTTCCATTCAATGACATATAAAAACTTTATTAATTAAATTGGGCCGAATTCCTAGATTGAATTGAGTTGCCCAGCTCTGTAATCGATAAACACGAAGAACTGAATACATAAATAAGTTGCCTAATGTTTGTAGTATCTTCATCGCTAGTGGACTATTGCTGTACAGATTTATTTGTAGTTGTTTAAAATAATTGATAGCTCTTGTGTTGTACTATGCATCTCAACAAGTTGAAAATATTTTTATTGAATACGTTCAAATGTGCCACCAGAACAAAGTTCTTTCGTATAAGGCAAACTCGAGATAGAAACAGATGCAAGTTCTCGTTGACACCGTGCAACCTTTGAGAAAGCGCATTCAGATCTACTTTGCTCGTCATTCTATATTGTTTAAGTTTGATCGAATAGGCTTAGTTCGAAAATTGTGAACATATTAGTGTAAATATGTTTGTTTTGATTAAGAACGATTGGAAATAGATGAAAGTTGTACACTGTGTATGTAGAAACATCAATGAGTGGTGATCGTACAAAACGTTGCCAAAATAATCAAGCATAGTGGATATGTTTGTATATTTTCGTGATGTATTGTACATGAGTGGAGTACATGCACTCACTGAGACATAATCAAGCAAGAAAGGTCATGCATTAATTCTTTTCTGTTTGAATAAACACATGATTTATCCATTGATGACAGCAGCGGCAATAAGAACCGAGCGATTTCTCTATCCGTTCAAGATTCGAATTCAACTGTGTTTATTCATTATTTTACTGAAACGATCTCTCTCGTCGTCCAACGACAGCATTTTAATTCTAACAAACGACTATTCATTATGACACTCGATAGTCTCAGTCTGATCTCGTCTACATAAAGGTATTAACAACGACATGTATATAGATCAATCTTTTTCTATCACTAAAACATGCATTAATGATACCAATATGTTTGTCTTGTATCATGTCTATAAAGTTGGTAGTGATAAGGGCATGGGTAGTGGCATGAATGTAGGAGTGATTTTAGCGATGAGGATTGGGGTAAGGGTGTAGATGTTCCTGTTGGTTTTGATTCTTTGTTTAATTTACATTGCGCACACTCACACTCATATAGACAAAATATTAGTGGAAGTATTGAAGCACATAAAATTTTATTTAGCAAAAGATATTCAACTATATTTCTATACATTAACGTTGTCTTCTAAAGCTTCGATCTTTAAATAATATTTTCATCTTTGAGTATCAATAAAATAATATTATAATAGATACATAATAATACTAATAAAAAAAGCATCCCCATTATGGCATCCCAAAGTTTGTATTAAATAAGCACAATACATTATTTAGGTTGGGCAGAAAGTAATCGAATAGTTCGCTCCACTTCGACGACATCAGGATGTGTAGGAGGTAAATGATTACGATAAATTTCAGCTGCTTTTTCATAATATACTAATGCTTGACTCAATTCACCTCGAGCTTTGTATGTATTACCCATGCCACGATAATCTGTTGCTATATCTAAATGATCAGGTGGAAGACAATTTAATTTAATTTTAAGTGAAATATTGAAATGTCCCAATGCTAAATAATAATGACAAAGTGATAAACGAATATGAGCAACTTTACTATGTGCTGCTCCCAAATCTGGATGATCAGCTGGAAGAGATTTTTGACAAATAGTCAATGCTTTCTCATAATAATTAAGTGCTTGAAAATATTTTTTTTCTTTTTCATAAGCAGCACCAATCCTATTCAAACATTCAGCTATAACTAAATGATTTTCATCATATACTCGTTTGTATATAACTAATGCTTTATTGTATGCTTCAAGTGCATGTTTAAAATCATCTTTTTTCCAATAAATATTTCCAATAATATTATGACTATCAGCAAGACGAACATCATCATTTTGTAATGTACGTGCTAATAATTCATGTAATTTTTCGTACCATTCAAGACTTAAATCACAATCACCTTTATCAGCAGCAACATTACCAAGTGCACGATAACACGTAGCAAGATCTTGATCACTACCTGGTAGACCATCAAGTACACGAAGATAAAATTTTTTTGCATCCTCAAGACTTCCCATATCACATAGAACGTGACCCAATGAAAAAAGATCAAAATCTTTACCATCATATTCTTTGCTAAGATATTTCAAAGCATTCTTTAAATCAAGATTATTTTCATTGCACAAAGTTAATCGAATAATGCATATTTGATTTTCATCATGTTGAACTTCAGTAATTTGAAAAATTGAACCAATCATCATTAAGACTTCTTGTTGACCAAAACAATAACTAAGCCAAATAATATTAGCAAATGGTTTCATTTCATTAATACGAGGATCAGCATCGATTTCGAATAAAACTCGCTGTGTATCATATTCATCTGAACTATCCATTGTATCAAAAAATGCTAATGATACATCTCGATCCATTGTAGTCGAAAGAAATGTATTTATCATAAGAAAACCACCAATAGCTTGTTTCAATATTTGTAATTCATCATTTGTTAGTAATTGAGCACGATAAAGATGCTGAGGTTGTGAAATTTGATTTTTTATAAGTTGTTGTTGAATATCAAAAATAAAGAAACGTAACAGAAAGAGCACATCGATATTTTGTACTCGTAAAGCTTTATTTAACATTCGATAAAGAAATGATTGTCGTGTATACCATCGTAAAGCACGTGCAGCTGAATAATTTTGTTGAAATTCATGTATAACAGCTAATTCAGTCTTATTATCTTTGTATTCTTCTTCACATAAATTAATAAGTTTTTCCATATCAGATGGTGTAACGTTCATACGAAGTAAACAATCAATAAGTAAATGTGAACGAATAAAATGATTATTCAATTTATAACTAACATTAGCATCAAAAATACTCATTGCTAAAGGTTCATCGATTTTATTATGACTTCTTCGAGCTCGATCAGATTTTATTTGAGCAACTAACACATCTAATTGGATGCTTACTGCTTTAATCTAAAACAAGATACGAAATAGAACTAAGCCCTTCTCTAAATATTTACAGTACATGAGGAGTTTCTTCAAAAAAATGATGGAACAGTGTAAACATCGTCAATCTAACTTAAATTCAAGTTCATACCGAGAAAGACCTGATCTTAAAGTGTGATATACTACCTGTAAAATTCTTGTTTTTTATGAGCAATAAAGGATTTTGTCACATAAGTTGACCACCCTTCGTTTGAAAAGTTATTTAGACCATTATGTAGAATAAGTCGTGAAGCATCGAACGGTGTATAGAGGGGTTGAACTTTCATCACATTTTAACATTCTAAGTAGTCATCTACTACTGATGAGATTATACAGCGATTGCGGATAATGATTTGATCTTTATTCGTATATACCTAAGAATTCTTACAATAACTTTTTTGGTATCCAAAACATTAGTTCTTTTCTTAGCATTTGTTATTTTTTAGTTTTTTTGACACTTTAAATTCTTCGATGTTACCTGTCAGAGCTAAGACGACCAACCCTTCGACATTCTCATAAACTGTGTGCTACCAAATTCTATAAGTACATCAATCGATTGTCCTCTCGATAGAAATATGTCTTAGTCAAAGAGTTCAATTAGTATCCAAAAATAACCAATTGTTCAAGATCCAAGGACAGAAAAGTATATGAGTTTTGCGATAAAAATTTTTCAATTAAAAAGCTTTCAATCGATAGATAATCAATGCATCATAACTTATCATTTGAAGTATATATTGATTTTTTTGAAAATAGTCTTACAAAAAAATGTTTTCGCTCTCGGATTCATGGAGAAGGATATTTCTATTCTCTAATTAGTACAGTTGTAGAATTTCACAATACACAGTTTATGAGAAAGTCGCACGGTTAGTTATCTCTGCCCTGAGGAACAATATCGAAGAAATTTAAACATCATAAAAGCCAACAATTACAACTAAAAAAGCTATGGTAAGAATCGCTATAATATTGAGTTATAGTATTCGTTCATATTACTCATCATGACTATAATATCCATTAACTGGTATGAAACTACTTAGATTTTCAAATAAAGAATAGTCATCTTATCCGATAGGGCCTGTTCTATTCATCTTTCTTTTATACTCATTAAATATTATAAAAATCTCTTTTCACATGTATCAAAAAAAGTTCAATTTTAAAAATATATTAACTAAATTATTTCTTTACCTTTTTAAATTCTTTAGCCCATTGTCCACCTCGTTTATTATCATGATTATAAATATAAATTGCAAATACTTGTCGAAGTAGATGAATTCGTGGTACTAATTCTTGACCTAATTCATTATTGACAATTAAAATAACTCGATCTTGTTCAGGTACAGATTGAATAAATTGCTCACAATCATCACTATTTTTAAATGTTCTTATATAATTTATGGATGAACGAAGTCTTTGTTGAGCATCAATATATTCCTTTATATCGTTGACTGAACGATCTAACCAAATAATCGAATACGTTTCAAGATTATAATATTTTAGATCGCTTGATAATTTATCAGCAGTTGGTATTGATGAAAGTTTTATTATCTCTACTCTATAATATTTCAAAAAATTCAATGAATTTAAAATTCAAAATTTTAATATTGACACTTACAATTGTGCCTTTTCAGTCATGATCTTCGAATCAAATTTAATAAATCACTTATGATTTTCAAAATAAAAAACCACAAGAAAATATGAATGTTGGTTAGAGTAAAGGACAAATAAACAAATGATTGACAAAAGCTATGTTTTTAAACGAGTTATACAAGCCTTTAGGGGAATCAACCATAACGTGTATGATTGCATGTTTGGTTATTTATTAAATTTTCTTATTGAACAGTTCTTTTCTTCTAATCATGAGCAGATATGTTCCCTTTGTAATTCTAAGAATTAATTTAAAACAACCAGAGTATTTATTGTTTTATTATTTGGAACTCATATATAGTTTGTCGACGAGAAGAAAAATGAAAGAATTTGATTAATAATACCTGTAGAAAAATAAATGAATAATACCACATGAGACTTTTACACTCAACAAAAAAAAAGAAAAGAAAATATTCAATCGAAATGAGAAAACATAAAAATAAGTTCTAGATTTGTGTATGAATATGAAGACTAACATGCTTGACATATTACTGATAAAACTCTTGTTTTCTTCCTATTTTTTATAAAATTTAAACAATTTCAATGAAGTAATCAACAATTTATCTACAGTTCAATGGAGAAGTTCGATCTAATTCTCAATTAAACATTTGTAGCTGAAAATTTGTCTACGAATTAAACATATGATAGTATTTTCTATAGTAGAAAATAGATGCATTTATTAAATCGGACAATTGTCAAATATAGTTTAATTCAAATAAATATAAATTAACAAAGTAATAGGATAATTTTCTTAATATCGATGATTCCAATCGGATTTAAATTTATTATGTTCATATTTTATAATAGACATCAAATGATCTGACATGCACACAAATATGATTACGGACAAAAACAAAAAATACTGATTATTCATATTTGTCATTATTCATTCTAATAATATATTTTACTGTACCATTGATAACTAATCGTTCTTCTTTATTAGTCAATGATCGTTCAACAAATGGATAAAATTCATGTAATTCGTTACAATTCATTGTTGATTTTAATTCATTACTATAATCAATATCTTTAATTCTTTCATATTTATGTGACCAAGGACCATTAAAACATTCATAATCATATGTTGTCCAATTAACACTAATAAAATAATCATGAGGAGATTTAGGTGCTGGTAACCATAATGATCCAAGTGGACGAAATTGTAATGGAAATATATGTTGTTTAGAAATACTTGAAATATATTGCATATTTTCTTGCCATATATGTGTTTTATTTTCATGATAAAAAATTAAATCAACAAATGGATAACGCCATGGATATTGACTATAACGTGGTGATGTTGAAAAATAAAATTTATAATATTCAAATTCTTTTGGTGAATCCCAACGACGATGAAACTCAATATTATATGGTGATGATGAAGATTCTAATTGAATAGCCATATTAAGACGATGTTTAAGTCGAACAGACATTAATAAATCAATATCATCATCCCATGGTATTAAATCATGATGACGCCATGAACCTATTTCAATTATATTAACAAATAATTAAATTAAAACAAACTAAACATATATAGTTACCCAATAATGTTCCATCGATCATCATATATTCCAGTGAGTATTTTTTTGTTAATTGATCAAAACGTTTTAATAATTGCATCATTAAATTATGTTCACATTTAGTAACAAGTCGAGGCATTGATGAAGCTGATTGCCAATTATCATAATCATATGGAATTATATTTTGTTCGAATGATGTTTTATTTGGTTGATTAAATTTAAGTGGAATTATTAAAGTTTTATTATTCGTCTTTTTTCTATTTAATCGTAGAGAATTAATTCTTCCATAACAATTATATCGATTATGGTAAACATCTTCTAAATTTAATAATAAAAGTGGATGAAAAGGTGTTGTAGTTGTTGAATTTTGATCTTTCGTATACTCATTTGTAGTCCATTTATTAATTGATGTTGTCGTTGTTAAAAAATTAATAAATGTAAATAGAATGGAAAGTAACAAAAAACTAATACAAAATGAACGTATATGATTAGTTAAAAATATTGACGATGACAAAGAATAACAACAAAACCAAGGTGTCATTTTTATATCTTTATTATCCTATAGATTTGCCCAAATGTTATAATGTGTGCATTTGGACATAAGCCAGATAGAGACAAGATAAATGAAGGGAAGAGAACAAAGAAAGCAAGTTTGACCGAGTTATAAGTTATGTTGCTCTCTTCTTCTTCTTCTTCTTTCCTTCTGTTCATATACATGTGAAAGACGAAAAGACATGCGAACAATGAGACTAAATAGTTCACAAAATATAATAGAAGAACTAAGTAGACTGAACTAGAATAAAAGAAAAAAAGCATAAGCATACTAACTAATCTCTATTGCTATTCATCGTCGATAAAAAAATATGTTTTAAGATTATCTATTGGATTTTATTGGATAAAACAGAATAGGGATTGATAAGTTGTTCGAAATCAATAGCATTTCATATTGAATGATCATCTTTATTTATCGATATTCTTGAAAACGAGCACCAACAAATCGAATAAGACCATTATTTTTAAATGATAAACTCTCTAATGTTGCATTTGGATAACAATGTAAATCTATTCCTTTATAAACAAGACGTTGTCCATTTGGTGGAACAAAAAATAATTCATAAAGTTTCATTTGTAAATCTCGTACACATATTGATTGATGAGATATTATAGCTATTTGATGAATATCAGATGCATATTCAATTTGTGCTTTCATATGATATCGATAGATATCGTCATTCGGTTTTCTGTTTTGCTATATATAGGTCATTTTTACACACACATATACACAATAAAAAGTTACCTTGACTTACTAAATAATCTCTCATGGGATAAGTTTGCTATTCTTTTTTTAAATTATTGAACATAATAGAACAAAAAACAACGAATAATAAAATAATAATATTTTTCTTTTATGTTGATTACTAAAAAAGAAAATCCGCGCGTTGATTAAATAACCGATGTTTTCTTCTGGGATACATTGCTCGTAAAACTTTTCGTCTAATATCAATATTTTAAACATGTTGGATGTATTTATAATTTGAAAAAAATAAACTATACAAGATAATGGAATTTTAGTGACAGTGATTAATGATGAAATAGTAGATGTATTTGATATGTCGGTTTTTCTAGTATGACGAAATGTTTTTCTTCACTAAATGATCGATTAATATTCTTATATCACCTTCTCACATGTCTACTTCTGATGTTTTAAATTAGTTACTATTGTGTTACAATGATCAGTTTTTCATTCAAAAGTTATGTAACTTGTTGAGAATTTATCATTAATCAATAAATATATTAATCTTCACAGTCAATGATATAGTTCTTTTGTTCTATATATTTCACATGATGACAATATACATTTGGCATTCATTTTATTTGAGTGACGCAAATAAGTATAAATATCAGGACAAGAACAACTTGAATTAGAAAGCATTAAATTTGAACGATAAAAAACATGCGTATACATCTGAAAACACAAAACAACCAAAATATAATTATTTGATTGCATCAAATGTGCTGAATCAACATAAGATGTGTGTGTTTCTATTGAATGTTTTACAAATCTTTAGCTTTTCACTTTATATAACCCTGACAAAGGAAAAATGGATTTTTTTATTAAGTTTTTTTTTATTTAACAAATGAAAAGGACCTTTGTACTGTAAGTGAAGAAGATTGAACATATTGGGATCAAATTTATACTTTTATCGTTAAACTAACGTTGAAATATGACGAGCTTCAATCGAGATAGTTGAATTTTAAGATGTTCCTAGTCGACATTCACTAGCATAATTACTAGTGAGTCCTTAAAATATGCGAAATCTATGAGAACTTCAGATTGGCTCCAAAAATAAATGATCTGTTTTTTTTATATAAACCGTTGACGTAAGTGTCAATTTTTATCATGTGTTTTTTGAGAAATCCGTATCAAATTCTTGATGAGATCATTGGCCCTGTACGTTTCCAAAAACGAACTGATTATTCTCATTAGAAAGTGACAGATAATTTGAAATTCTGATCTACTTGAAAGAAGATTTTTGACTGAATATAAAGACAAAAGGAAAAGATGTTAATCTCGTATTATGATTTAATTTTATTGTCATGTTTCAAATGGTCTAAAGTCAAATGAGTAATTAAGATTACATGTGGTACGCTTCTTCAATAGTTGATTATCAATACAAAGTTAAATAAAAATTTAGAATAAAAAAAATATTTAAAGTAATATATATGATAATAATGAAGAAAAACGTTAGAAATTGTTCAGTTTTCTCAACTTTTCTAAATTCATGTTTATTTAACCATATTCATATTAGATCATACTCAATAAAGTCGTCGGAAAATAAAAAACATAATCAAACAGTTTAAAAAAATCCATATATGATGAAGATTTTGAAAAATTACTTTTCACTATTATATTGATTTCAATGTCACAGAATACTTCTTCAACTTCATTACCCTAAAAATGATTTAGATCATAAAAAAATAGAGATATTTCAGTTAAAGTATAAAAACAAGAGAACAAAATGAACAGTAATCATCTATTAAATATTGATAATCAATGATCCATAACACATCTAAATGTGGCTTTAATACAAAATCAATTCATGAGAATGATACCATGATCATCTACGAATGATTTTTATTGAAAAAGAAAAACAACAAATGCTACAGGTGTACCGATATGATAAAAAAAAACAACAAAAGTTTATATATCAGGATCCCCATAGTTTATCGATAACTTTTTCTTTCAATGTTTTCGGTGCTCTGAAAATAAAAGATAAAAAAATAGAAAAGATGCAAAACGAAAGGATATAGCGTACGGTTTTGTTGCAACTGGTGTTATATCAATTGGTTCATTATTTCTTTGTCGTCGAGAAAGTTCGGCAATAAGTGATTCACGAAATAGTTCTTTCCATGGTCGAACTGATAGTTCATATTTTTCATCTTCTTCTTTTTCGAATTTTTCTAATGCTTCATCCGGTAATAAACCAATCCAATCAATTTCTTCTTTCTAGAGATTAGAATTAGAAATAAGCAAGAAGAGTTTTCAAATATTGGCAAGAAGGCTGATAGACAGTCTCGTGCGTTCAAGAAAGTTTTTGGGTTTTTTCCAAGTAAAAATAATTTTACATATTATTGACTTCGAATTAATGTTAACACTTGTTTTCTAATTTTATGATAAATAGAACATTTGTTCTAGTGTATCGAACAGAATAAATCAAAGTGTCTATCAAATCTTGGTGGCTTTTCAACAAAGTTCTTGTCTGCTGTGTCATAAGAAGTATACAGTTCAGTGGCGACTTATGTATGAAACAGCTTTAAGTAAGAGTTTTTAATTTACCTAGATTTATGATATTGCTGAACTTGCTGATGTTTTGTAAGATACTGACTGAAAAATAAATTATTGAATTTTGTTGGTAAACTCAATCCATCATACTATTGTTCAACATCAATGTAGACTTGCCTCAGAGTTCGTGATAGTAGTTGCCATTGAATACATTTAAATTTTCATTTTTTTCGTAACAAAAAGAAAGATAGACTGAGTTTATCCTCTTCAAGTCTAAGAACTTCCCCACCTAAGACAAGAAAACAAAATCAAATACTTACAGGTACTTGATATTTTTTATATTTTTCATAGATAATTGATCGTTTTTCTGGATCATTGGGCCAAAGGTTTTCACCATTATCAGTTAATTTATGTAACATTTGTCGACGAAGATCAAAGCCAAATTTTGAATTAAGATTTTGAAGAGGAGTCTAAAAAAACATTAATTCTAATCTATACAGATGGTTTTTATCCTTAAGTTTAGACTTTAAGAATATAATGATCAAACGTTGTAGCTTCTTCAATTTTAGCAATTGTACGTCGTGTAACACAAACAGCATAATGTTGATTAAGAATTTCACTGTAGAAAAGTAATTTCATTAATTTAGGCACCGAAATAAAGCATCGACTAAAATAATACGAAAAACAAAAAGCAAAACAATGAAAAGATGATAAAAGAATTTTTCATCTTACTAATAATCATCAACAACATTACCATCTTCATAACCAATCAATACACCTTCACCACCCCATAAACCTTTATCTGCTTGAACTGTTGGTACAACTGTTACAGGTACATGTTTTGTACGAGTCCTACATATTAAAATAAGAAATCACAAAAAAAGAAATTCTTTCTATTTATTTTGAGTTGATTAAATGCATACCAAACACCGGTCTCATGATTGACAATAAATTTTCGTTTGTCACGCATATCATGTACATCTTCCTTATCTCCATAGAGATGTTCAATAGCACGACGTTTATAATGTTCAGGTAAACGAGCATATTGTCCATTTCCCTTCCATTTATGTTTATCAAGTCTAAAGACAAGTTTTTGAGCTGGTTCAGGATTTGTTGCAACCCAACCCTACAGCAAAAAAAATTATTATCAAAAATAGTTAATTATGAAAAGAAAAAAACTAACGCCAATCTCATGCCCCATATATTTCCAGCGATTAGCCATATTATTTTCAATAGACTGTTCCGATTAATTGATGAATATCTTATTTTGGAACTATTCCATAACTCTCTATCATAGAATATCGAAAAAAAAAACGAGTTATCCAATGAAAATGTAATGACTAGATGCCGTGTGACATCGATCATATTTTTTCAGATCTTCTATTATAGATTTACATATAATCAAAGTATATCTATAGTTTTTTTGATACACAATTCAATTTAGTATAATTATTAATATTACGAATAATATTTTCAATCGCTTGATTAGATCAACTTTTTCTTACTTAGAAAAATTCCTATGACGAAATCAACTATAAAACATAAAACAGATGGCGTATATCAACAATGACTATCATTCATTCGAAATAAAACTATTACGTTTAGAATAAATATATTGAATACGTTTTACTAATTAGGAATACTATTCTAAGATTGACTCTCACGGACATATTAATGATTTTATTTAATATAAAGTAAACATATTAAAGTCCATTGCTATGCAACCAAAAAAAAAATCTGTGACTGTTTCAGTTACCATCTGTAGCACATAACATAAGAGAAATTAAAATCCTTTTTATCATTTGCCTTCCTGTCGTCGTCATCGTTGTCGTCGTAACACAAACAGTATACACACATACAAACATCCATTCGAAGCCGAACATGCATACAAAAAGAACTCAATTTTTTATAATATTCTCTCTGTTTCATCTATACCTTTTTTTCAGATGTGTATCGATTAGTGTAGGAGAAGAACGAGTACCATTGTTCGTGTCGCCATTATCATTATATTTATTATCAATTTTCAATCCGAAGTCTTTTCTTTTAATTATAATTCATAGTTAATAATAATGACTAAACGATGCATCTGTCAAATTTGTACATGCGGGTATGTATTTTTGTATATATATATAGATGTGTGTTGTCATGGATATTGAGAACAAATAGAGAGTAGACGAAACCTATTCAATGTCTTATCTCTAGCTTTGTGTTATGTTCGGATACATTACAAAAAATAAACTCGTATGATTTCTTTCGAGTTTAATAATCATGAGAAAAAAAAACTACTTTATCTTAGCTTACTCTTTCAATAATATCTTGTTTCATTTATTTACTTGAGATTGAGTCAACATTTATGTTTTTTTTATTGGTGCTTCAGTTTTAGTTATTGTATCTTCCAAAACACAGAGACATGGCTTCTTTTATTCTAATTATTTTTTTTTTTGTGTTTCGTATCCTCATTCACTTGTTACTCTTTTTTCTTCAAAAAAATAACTGACAATTATTATATCGTGTGCTCATCTATTTAGTAAACATCGTTGCCCACATCGGCCATATGGCATTGTTGGCAAAAGTGATCAACCATGTGCTGCAACTGAATATCGTTCGGAATTCGTTCCACGTGAAGGTGGTCCACGCGAATCATTTAAACCTGATTATACATTACAAACAAATACTGCACCATTGGACGATGAAACAACACACAAGTATATTTATAGTACGAAGAAATTCGTTTTATAATTGATTTTTTTTAGGCATGATTATATAAAACATTCGCTTGACAAACCACGTTCATTTAAACCTGAAGAAGTTTATGTTCCTCGTGGTGAATTCGATGCCCTGACAAGTTATAACAAGGAATACACACGTAAAAGAAAATATCAACGACTTCTATTCTTTAATATACCATTTTTGTTTTTATATTCATTCAGCCAAAGGTGGTGAAAGAGCAAAATTGATTAAACACGAAGCTCAAAAGACAATATCGGCTCCATTTGAAGGTGATCCAACATACAAAGGTATGCTAACTCGACCCTTTTCATCTTCTTCATTTCATAATATATCAATATTTTGTTTTTAATAGCTGATTATCGTAAATGGGAAGCTACTCGAACTGAACCAATTCGACACGATGGTGGATATGTAAGTTTATTTTTAAATATAAGTTTGTTTTAGTTTGATTTTCTTTTTTTTTTGATTCAAGGTCGCACCATCAGATCCTTTCAAAGGTTCAAGTACTTATACAACAGATTATCTGAAACATCAAGCTGCAATGCGTCAAGCTATTCGACCGGATCAAGCTGTATTACAATCGCAGGAACCATTTGATGATCGTACTGGTTATCGAACAGATTATATTCGTCATCCACAACAGGAACGTTTTCAACGTGCTAAAGAAGAATATACACCAAATAAATCAGCTTTAGATTCATTAACAACACATAAAAAAGATTTTACACCAAAAGAAAGTTAGAATTTTTAAATTAAACATATATAGATATATATATTTCTTTTTGATAATTTTTATTCTTTTATTGTAGTTGATCGTGCACGTTCAATGAAACCAAATCAACAAGGTTATCAATCAAATGCTCGTTTTGAAGATTCAACAACAAATAAAAGTGATTTTAAACGATGGGAAGTTCAACCAATTCAAACACATAAACCAGATGAATACCGAGCAAAAACAGGTGATATGGATTTAAATACAATGTATAATTCAGAATTTACACCTAAACCATTGGCTAAAGTCAATGCTATTAGACCAGTTGAACGGCGTGCAGTCGATGCTAAATTTGATGCACATACAACTTATGGAGGTGATTTTCGTAAATGGTCTGGAGGACGACCACCAGCTATACGAGCACAATCTGGTTATGAACCACCTAATATGCCATTTGAAGGAATGTCTACATATAAAGGTATAATAGAATAATTCGATCTTTATTTTTATTTTGCAATACTCTTAATTAGGTCATTATATTCCTCATGCTGGTGGTCCACAACGTTCATTTAAACCAGATGGTGTTGTTTATAAAACAGCAGCACCATTCGATGATGCTACGATGTACAGAACAGAATATACACCAAAAGAGATTGAACCATGTCCAGCTGCACTTCTTGAGTATGTAGTTTTTTTTATTCATTTATTTATTTATTGTTATTTACAAATGTAAATAAATGTAGGACGCAAAGAAGTAATTTTGTACATCATCATACGGAAGCAAGCGGTCACAAATTCTATGAAACACAACAAGAAACAGCGCAGTCTCAATATCAACAACAACAACAACAACCTATTGCAGTCTAGTATTAAAAAAATATCAGGATATATATACATATGATTGCTCATGTAATAGTGAAAAAAGAATTTAATCAAAACACTAAAAAAAAAAAAATTATTAATTTTCACCATCTTTTTCTTTTTGTGTGTGTGTGCTTCTTGTCTTGTCAATTATACATTTCATTACTTGCTCGTTTATTCATTATTCAAAAGAGCTTTATTAGATGCGTTCATTTTTTTTCTCGATTCTTGGATCTATTTTTTTTTGAAGAAATATACATTTTGTCTTAAAAAATAAAACAAAACAATCTGTTTTCTTCAATGATTAAAGTAATTGACAATAAAAAAAAAGGAGCTTTTTGCCGTTCATACTAATTGAATGACGCATTTAAATAAAATTTTCTTTGATATTCTGTTACACTTACAATAATAACCTTGTGTTATACATATATTTTACTATTTGAACTTTGGCCAGTTCTTTGCAAAAATTGTTTCTAGGTAACAGTTGGTAGTGTCGATTATGCGTTTATATAATAAAGGAGAAATATTACACAATAGTTATGGTAATAATGTTAACAATTTTCTTTCATATGGTGATGGTAAACATGACGAACAGAAGAATATCAACACATGAAAAGATAATTTCTAGTACAATTATTTAATTATTAACAGCTAAAAAGAAACGTCTCTGAGCACTTTCTGAGCAAATTTCGATGATTACCATTATATTATAAGATAATTTCTTAGGAAGTGCGCTAACCACAGATTCATAAGAAAGAATTTCCTGAGACATTATTGAAATTATCGAAAATTCTTATAGGCTTGGGATTAATGCTTCATTAGTGGATCTCGAGTTCCGGGAAGGAGTACACTAGTCGTAGAAAAAACGTGCTTGAAAGTTCATTAAAGGCTGTATCGATTCATTTCTGGACGTTTTCTTGTCAAAAAACTCGGAAAATATTCAGAGGCGATTGACTGCAACTTCCTTCTCTACATGAGGCACTTGTATGCTTCTATAGGCTTACAACTTCATTTACCGATACATCAATGTTAAAGAAATTTGAGAGGTTTCTGTGATTTCTTAAAATTTCTTACTTACGAATAATTTATTTTGAGAATTTCTTCGAAATGACCTGCATGTGTGTGTGTAATTTCGGAAATGTTCTTTCTCGGAAGGCTTCACATTACTCTATAGTTCTTCTCAAAGTTTTCTATTGATTGCTGCTAAACAGTCAATTTCTAGTCAATTTTTGCGGTGAGTTATTTAATAAGTTATAGAACACTCAATGTTATGAAACGAACCATATAGTTCTTAGACGATCAGAATGAAAAGTTTTTTTCTTTTTGTTTTATAGCACACATTTAACTTTATTGAGGCTCTTGATTTATTTACTAGACATCAACATTACAAAAGAAAATCAATGTAATAAATTGAATATGCAATAGAGCAATAAACTAAACTTGATTAAAAATAACCTATTATTGACAAGGATGAAATTCAATTAATACACACGTCATCGATATTTTTTGGAATATGAATTAACATATGCATTGACAATAATGCTTTTCACGAAACAACATTTCCTAAAAGTAATTTATCTTAATCTGCAAATGTAACATCGGAATGTAATACAATCAGATCTTTTTTTACAATGAATTTTGATATACAAATATTTCCGCATGTCATATATATCATTTATATTCCATTTTTATGATTGTGTCGAGAAGAAAATTAGCATTGTTAGATCGAGCCGAATATTTGAGATATTTCTCTCATGATGATATATTAATTAATTGCCAATTATCAAATCTTTCGTTACTCTTTTGAAAATTCACATAATATTTCTGTTAATATTATTAATACTTTTGTGTCTGTTAAATCTAGTATACTTTTTTTTTTCATTTAAAAAAGATAATAACGTCATTTGATTGAAGACTTAGCCCTTGATCATCGTTATAACTAAATATAACCATTCCTACATCTTTCATAGCTTATAACAAAGTACACAACAATTATAATATTTATCATTTCACTGGTTCATTTATTATTATCAATATGACCTTCAGCAATTTTTCTTTTTCGAACATTTCTTTTTTCTCTTTGCGTTACAAGTTTTACATTAATCTTGTTCATTAATCAACTTTTCTTGGCTCACGCAACCTGAACAAGGCACTTGATTATATTGTATCATTCCAGGGACGATATGATTACCTCGAACAATTAAAATTAGATTCATTATATATCGGTCGTTTCAACATAGTATCAGATATTAATATGAATGAAAATTTTAATGTGAATAGTAGGTTCACATTCATGACAAATATCGTTCTTTATATAAAGTTAATTTTCGAATAATTTCATTATAAAGTTCTTCTTATGACATAATCAATTGATAATAACATAGAGACCATTATTTTTGGATTATACATCTAACACTTGAAAATAAAAAATTCTTGAAGGAATATGATATCTTGTTAGATTTAATGATATTTAAACTACTAAAAAAAAAACCAAGAAAAAATCTAGATACAGATCTTTTATTGACTATGCTTATCTTCACATATCCAAATATATAAAAAAAACTAATAAATTTGTTTTGATTTATTTTCTAATACATCTATATAATAATATCTCACTCTGTCTGTTTATCAAAAAAAAAGAGACAAAAAAAAATGAAATTGACAAAAGTGAGAAAGTCATATAGAGACAAAAAAAAAACCTTTCATGTATAAATTAAAAAATTTCGCTTTCGCCCACATTAGTGACAATACTCAATGGCATGAACAACAGCAAAGAATACTACATACACATACATATTGTACATTAAAGAAAAAAAGTCTGTTCTTGAACAAGAACAAATTAAAAAACAGAAAAAAAAGTAATAGGAAGCTCTATATCTGATTAGACCATGATTACAAAAAAAAAAGAAAGGAAAAAAGGATGGCATATGAAAAAAAAAAGTACAATTCAAAAATATCTGACAACATACATATACAACATTGACTTATTTTCTAGACTTAAAGAACCAGAAAAGACTAGATCTGTATATTTGATTTTTATAAATAGAAAAAAAAAAAAGTTCATTTTATGATTTTGTAGGAACTACTTTTGATCTTGTACGTGTTGATATAAGACTTATTCGTTTATCAATAGATGGCATCGAAGATACAGATTTCTTTTTATCTTCAATAATAACACTAGGTTTACTTTTAGATTTTGATGGAGGTAATTTTAATGTTGATGCTGATGAACATGTTGAAGAATTTGATCTAAATTCATTATAAATATAAAATTCGAAGAACGAAAATAACATTTTTGTTTACTTATTTAAGCTTGTATTAACTGATGATGGTGGTGTTGTGATGCGTTCATCTTTTTTCTATCGAAAAAAAAAACAAACCACAGTAAGAAAAAAAGATAGTATTTAACAAGATCTACATACAGTTCCTCGTGTAATTGAAACTTTCGTACTGGTTCTGATAATAAAAAAATTGCGTAAAAGATTAAATAGGAGTAAAAACTTTTAACATACTTTGCTCGAATTGTTTCATTCTTTGTATTTGAAGGAACAGTACTACCTAGCGTTCTTGGTCGATCACCTATTAAAAATGATTCGAAAAAATTAATAAATATAATATAATGAATTTTTACTTGTTGTTCCTTTCATTGGCATGCGACCATTAGTTAATGTAGATTTATTTACTAATTGTTTCTAATTATTAAATTAATACATATGATTAAGTTTTATTTTATTTTATTTAGATAATTTTACTTCTTGTTTTTGTTGTTCTTGAATTTTAGTTAATTTTTCAATTTCTTCTTGAAGATTTTTAATTGTTATTTCATTTTCATTTAATTTATTAGTCATTTCTTCTTTAAATAATTGATATTCGGCAACAATCTTTAAAGAAAAATATATACAAAATTAATTTTTTTATCTCAGAAATTTTCTATAAAAAAAAATTTACTTTTTCCAATGTTTCTTTTTCAAGTAATAATAATGTATGATCATTACGAAGATTATCAAGTTCAAGATTCTAGTTATCAAAAATAATCGATCAGGATATAAACAATCTAAGACAAAAAAAAACCTAATTACAGTTTGAATGAGTGACTGTTCTTTATCGGCAATAGATGCATCGAACTGTTCACGTTGTAATTTATATTCTAAAATAGAAGTGTTCATATAAAGTTTCGTAGTCTTTTTTTATTGTTGTTGTTGTGTACCTTGAACAAGTGCATCAATAGTATGTTGATGTTCTTGATTGAGATTTTCCAATTCAGCTTCATGTGACTAGTAAGAAAAGGTATTCATTAATATATTACACACTATTGCTTATTAGGTCAATTGAGAATGTTATTATGCAATAGACTGATATGACCTTCTTCTTTCCAGCATACAGAACATTTTAAATGCCGCATCATCTATATTCATCGTTCTACTATAAGAGCATCCCCGATAACTTGGTTTAATCATGATTATCGTCTTATATAAGAGAATGATCTATTTTCTGGTCTATTCATCTACTTGAAAAAGCACAGCTTTTATCTTTTATGTAATCTAATTAAGTATACTACGATAGACTATCTCATGAGTTTGTTTCAAATATCAGATAATTACATTTTTTAATAAAACACATTCAAGTTGTAAGTTTTCTTTAGCCTAAAAGGCAAGAAAAAAAAAACAAATACATAAACAAAAATTCATTAAAAAAAAAATATTTTACTTCTGATAGAATTTTATTTTCTTCTTTCAATTGTACTAATTCTTGCCGGCAATCAAGTTCTACAAAAAAAAAGAAAAGAAAAGCATTAAATTATATGTTATCTAATGTTATAAAAATATACAAAGAAAAAAGAAAAAAAAAGAAACTAACGTTTGATAACTTTATTTGCTGATGGAGTAACAGTTGGTGTACATCCACCTAATTTACGTTTATTACTCTTCGGTGTTCCAATTGTTGTATTTACATGTAATAAAGATTGATTATTATTAGTATTAGAAGTTGATGTTTGGAGATTTTTTCGTCTTGTCGAATAGGCAAGTATAGGTTGTCGACGATTCGTTAATCGAGTTTTATTACTAAAGTAAAATTCATTAAAGAAAAAAAAAAAACATAATTTAAATAAATATTCAATACTTTATATTTGCATCAGAAGTACCATTAGTTCGATTATTATAATCATCTTCATCGATAAGTATAGGTAATCTTGCAAGTGTTTCATTAAGTGCTTCTTGATTCATTGGTCTAATAGGTCGATTATCATAATCTGAATAAGAATAATCTTCTTGTGAACTTGATATCATTGGATCGAGATCCATGATGTCGTTTCTTTTTTTTTTTCTTGTATCTGAAGTAAATGAAATCATATAGAAAGCTCTTTTTTTTCTTTTGTTCTTATTTGAAATCTATTTAACAAGTTTAAATCATAACAAGAAGTTCATATATATATCTGATCTATCTGACAAAAAAAAAACATTTTGTTAATTATTGCTTGCAGCACGAAAATGATCATCATCAGTTGTTGAATAAATATGACCTTCACCAGAAAGAAATTCTAATGCTTGTCTAAATAAATTAATACAAATAAACAAAAGATAAAAACAATAAATAATGAAATTCAATACTTACTTGACTTGATTTTCACTATATTGTTTTAATTGTTTACATATTTCAGTTACACTATAACCTGCCATTGTTGTTACAGTTTTTAAAAGATTAAGAACAGCATTTTGTACTGGTGTAAATCCATTAGATATTGTTGATGTTTGTTGAGTATGCTGATTACCACCGGCATTATTACTAGTTTTTGTCATATTCATTCCACCCTAATTATATAATAAAAATGTTATATAAAATAAATATTATATTATTTTATATATTGAACATACAGATTCGCCTTGTTTACGAATACATATACTTGCATGTACACATTCAATATCATGAGCAATTAATTCATTTAACGATTGCATTTTACTAATATGATGTGCAACAACATGTGATTTACCACCAAATATTTTAACTTGACCAACAACTTTAATATACGTTAATGGTTTTAATGGTTCACCGGAATCCTAAAGAAAAAAAGAAAGAAACAAATTTCTTTGTTCTTTTCTTCATAGAAAAATTTACATCATGCCACCATTTTATTTCAATTAAACCACCGGAATGATCATCAATATTATATGTAGCTAAACTTCCATTAACTTCATGATTTGCTTCACGTATTAAACCCATGATCATAACTGTATTAAATTTTAAATGTTTATAAATAAAACAATTATCCGATTCGGAATGTTTTGCATTAAGAATAGTTGCTATTGTACATGTTAATACACCTTTAACTGATGAACGCTATTAAGAAAAATAATATATTTTTATTATTCAATATTGATTTGTTATTAATACAAACTTGTGCATTACCAGCATCACCTTCACCACCAGCTTTTCGTTGTTGAAAACCACTACCACCTCCTTGTTCTAAAAAATTAGATTTGAAAAATTAAATGAGTAAAAATTTTCTTTCGAAATTACCCCAGAGAGCCATTTCTTATTTATCTTTTTGTTTTGAAAAAGAAATATGTATGGATCGAATTAATGATAGATTATCACACACAGAGAGAGAAGAGACAACACAATAATAACAATCAGTCAGTCAGTCAGTCAGTTTGTCTGTCTGATGAGTGCTTTTAATCAGCCAATCGAGTTTCATTAATGCCATTTTATGTCTATAGGTGCCGTTTGTTGATGGATAATAAATTTGTTTGTTTAATATAATTAGCACAATTTCATGGTGTAAACATATGTTCATATTTATTTTTATATTTTAAAGAATAATCTATTGAATGAAGGATTCTATCAACGATAAAGATTTTATTCTAAATGACAAAAAAATTTTGCCGAAATCAGATTATTGTTTTGCTTTAACTCTTTGACTTCCGACTATTTTCTACGAAAATCAAAGTTTTTAAAAGTAATGTTTAAATATGTTTTTCTTATTTTTTTTTTTCACAAAGAAGTTTCATTTCTGTTCTAAAAAAAAACATTATTAGTTCATCTTTGTATGATAGTCTTTGCAGCAATCAACAATAGATAGTGACACATTACAGACAGGATACATATATCTTGTAACACGTTGAAGATTATGTGATGAGCACACCACGCATTTTCGTCGAGACTGTTCTAGTTGCAAGGTTTATGGAATGAACGAAGTGAAATGTCGAGCAGTTAAACGGAGAGGAGAAGATTTTGTCGATGATCTTCCAAGAGTAGTCGGTCTTTATAGTCTGAACTCTAGCAAAATTTCTCTGATCAGATCGAGCGGGAAATCAGGTAAGTGGCGCGAAATATCATTCTGCATTTTATAAATTACAAATCCATTATATACTGCCATATCCATAGGTGGATAAAGACTTTTTTGTACCATTTTACCGATTTTCTTATAGAGCATAATACATACTAAATACAAAGAAAAGAATGAAAAGTGTGATTGTACTGGAACACATCAGAATGACAGGAAATATGGATGGATTGTGCATGGGTAAAAATATCAACAGAAAGGAAAGAAAGAAAAAATATACCACTATGGTACCATCTAACAAACGATAAGAAACTTTTCTAAATAGTTAAAATATATACTACTGTAGCCTTTACCCGATAAATACATTTGGATACATATACAGTTGGTCAAAGAAGTATCCACCCATCCCGTTTTAGTCTCATACAAAGATTTTATTCAGATAAACCCTTTAGAAAGCCGAACTCTTGTAAAACTTATGTATGACAGAAAACTTTTTTGTTCCATCCAATGAAGGTATTTGAAGAAAAAGACCAATATGTTTTGAAATTGAGAATTATTTTTTGCCAAAAAACATGAAATTTTCGAGAAAAAATAGGTCCCTGCCAACTTTGATGATCCGCTTGAAAGAAAAACCACATATATAGTTTTGTAGTGTAGCTCACGGCACATCGAATGGTATATAGGAAGTCTCATTTTCTTCAATTCTTGATTCATTAAGAATCCATATACTCATTAGAGGCATAGAATGAGTAACAAATATTCGAGCAGCCTAACCGATTTTCAGTATTTGTCATTTTTCTTGCATGAGACTATGCACTGGAACATTCTGCTTTCACTGATGGATAGGCAGACGTTTCTGTCATCAAAACTAAAAAATACTCCAAGGTCAAAGACCTTTTCTAGAACTATTGATTACTTTTTTAATATAAGGAACGGATTTCCGAGCATGCTCACCCACTGTATATCTCAAGTAGTATATAGATTCTTAATACATCAAGACTTGAAGAAAATGAGACTTCCTATATACCATTCCATGCGCTGTGAGATGCGTTACAAAACTATATATGTGATTTTTCTTTCAAGTGGACCATCAACGTTGGCAGAGATCTATTTTTCCCGAAAATTTCATGATTTTTGGCAAAAAGTGATTCTCAATTTCAAAACATATTAGTTTTTGTGTACTCAAAAAGTGAGTACACTCTAGAATCGGTCAGTGTGTCCGGCCGTCATCCGTCCGTTTACACGATAACTCTTCACAATTACATTCGATTGAGCTGAAATTTTGTGCACAGAATTGTCTCATCAATATCTCAGTCGAGTTCGAAAATGAGAAGGATCCGTCAAGAAATGGCTGAGTTATCGAAAAAATTGTCATTATTGACCAGACCATCCCTGAGGGGGGTACACGGATTTTTCTATGGGAAGATTGATATATCGCCGTTCTCGTAAGAAACTTTTCTATCAAAGTCGAATAAAATCCCATTTGTTATATACCATTCGATAGAGAATTTTACGAGCTATAAAATGGTATATAATATATAAAGAAATAAGAAGGCTAAGTCACCTATATGGCAAATATAATTATGCAGGAAGTGGTTCCGACTTTGTCAACGGACTCATTGACCCACAATTAGAATTCTATCTTCGGATTACAGATATATTACTTCGAGGTTTTCTGTTACGGAGAACTCAAATCTGTACTCCATTTGCCTCGAAACTCCATTGGTTGAGCAGTAAGCTATAATTCCATACGAAAAAAAACCTAATGAGATAAGATAGAGACAGTAAAAAATCTCGGTCATAATAATCAGTTATGTAAATCGTTTTAATTCATTCCTTCAGTATAATTTTGTAAGTTTAATGTTTGGTAAAATTTTCTAAGTGCAATGATCTTGACACCTGTTTTTTCTATTGGTGAGATGCAGCAAAACTTTTTACTATATTTATTAGTGTCAATAACATTTCTCTTAGTGTTGGGGTCTGGTTTATATTTTCCCTGAGGAAAACTTATCTGTTGATATTAATCCTATTGAATCTGTCTATAAATCAGGTTCGTAGTCAGAAGTATTCTAAGAGGAGAAAGTATATGCCAGAAGAGAAGATGTATGATGGTGTGAATAATTTTTTCTAGTATTGTATGTCCCTCCACATGTTTTTTTCTTCAAGAAAGATACATGAACGTGTTGTAGATAGTTGGTTGTGAGCCTGATATTAGTTGTAGACTTGATGCATAGTTTTTACTTACTCAATTCTGACAAAAATTTTTTTCGAGTCTTAACAAGTAAGTTGCGAGTCTGACTTAGTAGACTTAGATCTGAGTGAGTAGAGCGGAGTTTATAAAAATTTGAACACACAGCTCATTAATCTTGGTATCGATCTTGATGTTCTGGAAAATGTTTTTTAGAAACTCGATTAGTTCTTTGAATTTGAACGAAATCGATAGATATATAGGACTTTAATTTGATAGTAATCAACTAGCCTTTTAAAAAATGAGTATTAATCCTGATGTTTGAGCCACTCGTTTACAAGTTTTCTTATTTCATTCTGAATTGTTATATTAAACAAGATAATAATTAAGTGTAAATAATTGTATTTTATTATAGAATATTTTCATTTCTTGATTATAAATCTTTATGTCGATGTGCCCAAGTATCCAAAGTAAAAAAAGGAAACAAATAATAATTATCTGTGATTGTTAAAATGGTTTTGTTATTATATTTAATATTGGAATACATTAGCATTAGATGGTTTAAATTGGCAAAGTATTAATTTAAAAAGTTTTCAACGTGATATTGATGTATGTTTACAAATTTTTTTTTAAATAAAAATCTTTTATTTATTTGTTTTAGGGAAATGTTTTGGAAAATTTAAATAAACAATGTGGAACATTTTTAAAAAGACTAAATATTGAAAATTGTAAATTTATTACTGTGATCATAATATGCGGTATAAAAAGAAAACCAAAGATTATAAAAGAAGAAATTTTTTTGTTATAATAATAGTGTTCTTGCTAATTATTGTCCAAATTTAGAACGATTAATTGTTAAACATTGTACAAAATTGTCTAATACGTAAATAAAGAAATTTTTCTATTAAATAAAATAAATATTTAGAGAATGGTATTCGAATATTAGCTGAATCATGTCCAAAATTTACTATATTTAAAGCTGAAGGATGTACACATGTAATTATGAATTAAATTAAAATAATATTTAAGAAAAAATGAAATAATTTAGATGACAAATAATGTAGCTATTGAACTTGGAAAAAATTGTTCAAATTTATTATTTCTTGTCTTAAACCGATGTTCTGTAAGAAGAAAAGAAATATTTATTCGTTTATATTTTGGAATTTTAATCTAGTTCTTAACTGATGATCGTCTTATAGCTTTAGCTCATTATTCTCCTTTACTTGACACATTAATTGTTGCTAATTGTACGGGTTTAACAGATGATACATTAATAACTCTTGAAAGATATTGTTATCAATTTAAGTAAGACTTAAAATTAAATAGAAAAAAAAGAAAATTTTTTATTCATCATCATTGTTGTTATGTTTAGCAAACTTGATGGAATTGTATCTTCAGAATTTAGTACATTAAATTTTTATCAATGGCTCAAATCAGAAGAGTATGTATTATAAATTTCGAAAATTTTCTTTTTTTCCGAAAAATAATCTCATATTCAAAGAGTTATGAAAGTTTTAATGAATTAATTCATTTTTATTTTCACTTTTCAGTATATATTCCTTTCTTGCGTTCTGTTGTTCGATATAATGTGTTGTTTTCTTTCTCTACCCTGTTCACCGTTAGTCACATTTGTAAAAAAATATTGTTTCTGTACGGTTGACTAGAATTTTCTTTACATTTAACAAACACACATAAACTGTTATACACGTACACACATATTCTTATTTATGTCGTCTTAATGGCATCCAGTTCAATGACTCCGGCATTAAAAAACAAAATGTTTAATTTGTAATGAAAAGGATGTGGAAAATTCATCATCATTATTTTGTTCAACATGTGCAAATCGACTTGACAACGGAATACCAAATTTGCAAATGAACGATTGGGGTAATAAAAAAAACTAATCTAATAATTTAATATAAATTAATAAACTTTTTTTAGCCGGTTTATTATTGTACCTTAAGGGAAATGAAACTTGTCAAGAATGCAAAAAAATCATTCGGTTAGATCAATATGTACTTTTAACTAATAAAAATCAAGTAATTTTTATTGTTTCATATTATTAAATATTTTGTTGTTTGTTCTTAGTTCCTCTGCAAATATTGCGCCATCAATGCCAAACGAATCAACGAAATTCATGTCAAAAAAGAAACTCTTACAAAAGTCACCAAAAGAAGTATTCAACGGGAGACGGCCACTTGCTCGCCGGACATTTGCGTGCGGACGACTTGTTCGTGTGGACATTTACTCACATGGACATTTACTCGTATCGAAACTTGTTCGAGGGTGTGGGTGGTGCTCACGGAAAAATTCTTCCGAAAAAACCGCGGTGATCTGAGGTTAACCGCGGTTTTGTTCCACATTTTGAAAAACCGCGAAAGTCAGACCTTTTATGCGGTTTTGGAAACCCGCGGTTTGCAAATACCGCGATGAGAACCGAGAAAGCCGCGGTTGGATCTGCAAAAACTCAGCTCGGACCGCTATTTTCTCGATTCTCATCGCGGTATTTGCAAATCGCGGTTTTCGCCGGTTTCAAAAACCGCATAAAAGGTCTGACTTTCGCGGTTTATGAAACCGCGGTTTTTTCTTGAAAAATTTTTCCGTGGGTGGGTATGGATGTATGTGATAAAAGGTAAAACACGCACCCACACCCACTCACACCCACCCTAGTTGACGAGCAAATGTCCTAGTGAGCAACTGTCCACACGAGCAAGTATCCATACGAGCAAGTGTCGTAGCGAGCAAATGTCCGGCGAGCAACTGCCCTAAACCCGTATTGAACAAATTAAAAGAAAAATCTTAACAATAGGTCTAGTGAGGTAATAATAAAATGAAAACTATTCTCATTTTTGACCAGTTCTATTTTTAGATTCGTTTCGGATTAAACATCATCAACAAATAAAATAAAACAACATGAACATTTATATTTATTTATTTAGTTTTTTTTGTTAAATCCATCTTTTTTTTATTATTATTAAATCATGTTTTACTCTTTGTCATTTGTTGAACAATCTTCTTCTTTTTTTAAACATCACATCTACTAATAGAATCAACTAACACAGTAGAACAATGATAATTAATCTCAGTTGAGATCTTTGTTACTCAAATAATTCCAAAAAGAAACGTCATTAATGAGAATTTTAACTTGAATTTGAAACAAAGATCAAATTAAACAAACGAATTAATTACGTTCTATTCTTTCTACAAATCTTGCTTTTAAGCACTGACAAAAACTATTTATCGAAATAGAAAAGTCATTATCAGATATAAATTTCTTGTTTTTATTGAAATTCATGATTATTTATAATAATATTGATGTTAGAAATGAGACATGAAATGAAATAGACGAAAATATATTAAATATATCAATCAATCAAAACCACATAATAAGTCCACAACCATCTTTTTCAACAAAAACATATGGTTGTTCATCTAATGATAAATTAAGAATACGCTTTCGTAATTTTTCAATAAATAAACAATGTTCCTTGTATGCTGCAACAATATCATAAGAAGTTTGATAATAAATACGTCGAAAACAAAAAGAGAAATCCAATAAATTTGGTGTTATCTCTGCAATGATTTGACAACTTGTATCATCTGGGGGAATATGCATACCATATAAAAATATACGTAAAGATTTCAACAATGGTAAAATTGAGAGTGAATGTAAAGCAGTCCAATCACCAGTTGCAAAACGAAGACATTCATAATGAAGAATGATTTGAATAGATCGAATATTTAATGAAAGTGAGCAACTATTCAATGAATCCAAACTATCGATAAGAACAAGATGAGAAACATTAGGTAAATGCATAGACACTTGTCTATTACATCGAAATAAATGAAGTTCGACTATCTTATTTGAAGTCATTAATTGAGAGAACAATGTAGCAGATGATGCAAGATTATCTGACATATTCAATTTAATTAAATTAGACGAATAGATTTCACTAATTGAACAAGATTTAAATATTTCTAATTGATAAATACATCTATCTGGAACGCTTAATTGAAAAAATTCATTAAAAGTCCATGGTAAACTGTAGAATAGATGTTGTCGAATTTGGGGTTTCGTCAGCTGAAAAAACAACAGAATACTAAAAGAATAGTCTAAAATCGAAATAATCTTAAATTTACATAGATCTGACCTGGAATTGTAAATGGTTGATTATCAGGCCAACAAACAGAAATAAATGTTGCACTACCTATTTGACGAGGATGACATTGATTACCATATGGTACATAATTAAGAAGTTCTATATGTGGACGATCATCATTGATAATAAAAGCATAATGAACATCAATATGACGAAGGTCTGTAAAAAGTGCTGAATTCTTCATTCGAATAAGATCATCAACACTAATAACAATAGAGAAATTCATTCGTCGTAAAGCAGGCATAACATTAGAAGAAGTCAATAGATTAACAAATGTCCATTCAACCATCGAATGCCAATTGAATGATTTAACAAAACTAAATGTATGTAAAGCTTTCATTTGAGGCAAAAGATTTATACCATCTAGACTACTATTTATTAGAAAACATTCATGAGCTAATTTAATGTGTAACTGTTCTAATGTACGTGACAATGGTTCAGTCGACATTATGTCTAATAAGTTCCGTGTTGTGCTCAATGTTATAGTCAAATAAGTTAAAGGTATTTGTATTATTTTAAATGGCCAATGATGGAAGAAAAATAATGATTCCATTCCTAAATCAAATGAAGGAAGAGCAGACAGATGATTAAGAATTTCAGTAATGAATTCACATAAATTCCATGATGGATAACATAATTTTCTACTTAGACCAAACTTAACGAAAGAAAAAATAAATATTAAAATAATATGTATCTGTATTATTAATTGAAAGTTAAAATTTTCTCTTTACTTATCTAAACTTGCTGATAATAGAGAAATTGTTTAGGCAACAAAAAAATAGACATCAATATAGAGAGATCTAGAGCTTCGACATCTTTTACACAAAAACAAGTCTTTCAAGAGATTTTTGTATATTTAGCATTAATCTTTCAAAAATAATTGATCTATTTCTTTGGAAAGGAAAGTCTGATGAATAAGATATGATGAAATGTTTTCCTTAGATATATTGTTGCATAGGACACGATAATGCGATCATAGAATGTTATCTTCAACCATTGTTTTATACGTCAATAAATATGCAAGAACTATCAAGCAATCATAAATACAAAAATTTTATACTTTCCTACTCAAACTGTTTTCTCATGTGCATAAACTTCTTGAGCAAAAACAAAAAAATCATGTGACATCAACAAATCTTAACGTCTGTACATGTCAATCACATAAAAATAAAACGTTCGACTAGTCTTTTACACCTTTTCATACATTGTATTGGAATCAGAGATGTCCATCGCGGCTGAAAATCTGCCGCTGTCGCGCCGCGGCCTTAGAAAAAAAAAAGCTGCCGCGACGCTGCCGCACCGCGATGACTTATAAAAGAAACGCTGCCGCGATGAATTATAAAATAAACGTGCCGCCACCGCGCCGCTGCCGCGACGGTTTTCAAAAAAGTGTTTCTAATTTCACTGCTGTGACTATACTTGACCAGAGATACGGGTACTAGTCCATCAGATTTATTCAATATCAGGGCGTTTCATTTGTAAATCCTGAAATTCTATTAAATGCATACAGTTTTTCAATGTTCTCCAAAAAAAATCCTGCCGCTACCGCGCCGCTGCCGCGATGACTTTTTAAAAAAATCTGCCGCTACCGCACCGCTGCCGCGGTGATTTCTTAAAAAATCTGCCGCTGCCGCGCCGCCACCACCATCGCAGCAGTGGCAGAGCCGCGATGGACATCTCTGATTGGAATTACTGCTAATATAAGATTATTGCGAATTATACTTACTGTTTCAAAATACTCGCTTGATTCAACTGTTAAATGAGTTAATGTAGTGGCATGCCGTTGTGCAAAATTAAAAACATCAACCACATTTCGTACACCTTTTACTTTTAATATTCTTAAATGTGGTAAATAAGGGCAACATCTTAGCTGAAGTGGTGACGAATAACAATCAATGACAAGTGATTGAATTACATTGAATCGAAGTAATGATAAAATTTTTTTGAATCGATGATACCGTATGGATGATAAATTAATATGATAATAAAAACCACGTTCAATTAATAATCTTGTTAAACGAATATTGAGATTATTGAAACACCATAAAGCATCGACACAAGATAAATAAGAAAATATTTCTATCAATGATAGATCAGGTAAATCATTGAAGAGAGTAACCATATTGCTTTCAATTGAACGAAAGACAAGAACTGAGACATCATTTTTTTTATAGTCATATATATAATATTACATTGCGGACGTTCATCTTGTGTTAGTATTCTCTTCATTATATTTTATAGCCGACGAAAACAACTTTTTCAATATATTTATTCCCTCTATGAAGAAAAAAAATGAACGTCTGGCCATTATCTATATTGACATCATATATGAATAATGAACTTTTTTTGATTAGGGAAATTTGACCCTGGGACTATATCGGTTCTGAAGCAAAACATGAATAATGAATTATAGAATAATAACTATGAATGAAAAATACGTAATCATCTTTAGAAATTCGAATTTTATGATTGCAAAAACAATGTGGATCATTATTTTTCGAATTTTTTTTTCTACAGATGAGTATAAGAAATCATTTGTCAAGTGTTTATAGAAGCAATATAACGACTGATATGAAATTTTTGTGAGAAAGGGTAAACAAGAGAACTTCTAATATAGTATAATATAAATTGTTTCTCTCTAGCATAATTTTTTTGATGATTTATGGATTTATCTTTTCGTTTTCTAATTTTGAGAATATTTGCAAAAAAATCGTTAATGATTAATCGGCTAGAAAATATTTGAGGGTGTCAGATATTTAGAAAATATTATTGAAGAAAAAGAGAATGTGATTTATAAAACGAGAAATTTTAAAATTTATCAAACAAACATGAATTCACAAAAGTGTCAAATTAGTTAAGAAAATGAATGTATGAAGAGAACTTTTCTCAACTGATTGTATATAGATTTTTTTGGTAAATCTTCAATTCAGCTTCGAGAGATAGGAGAGATAGAAAAATACTTGTAATCGATGTATGGATGAAAGGTCAAGAAAAATTAATTATTTCTATTTTAGTATAGAATGAACATTAAAAAAGAAAAAACAGATTCAGTATCATTTTAAGGAAAATTAAATCACACGGTCAGTCAGTGTCAATTTAATTGTTATAAATAACTTCACCCTCACCCTCTTCTGTATCAATTGCTCAATCAATAAAAAGAGGATACAACGAAATTCTTATTAAAATAGGAAATCTTCAAAATGTCAACGACATAAGTATCAAAAGAATTAAACGTATTATGAAAAATTTAGATCCAACAACAAGATAAAAATAATAATAACTGATCATTTCTATTTTAGCTTTATTTCTGATTTTTGTACATAATCAATAACGATTAATGATGGAACAGAAGAACGTTTATAATTTTTTGTTAAATAAATCAATTTTTCTTTAAATGACATAAACTATTCTTATGATGAAATAAAATGAATGAAAATATTCTAAATATATCAATCAAACAAAACCGTATGATAAGTTCAAAACTATCTTCTTCAACAAGAACACTATAGTTCATTTGGATCTATGTAATGCACATAGTTTCGATTCAAAATTAATTTATATGTTGGCAAACTCCGCTCATTAGTATACATTTTCTTTAGTCAGTGGAGAAAGTTATTTTTTATTAGAAAAATCATTAATCAATGTACATAAAGAAATAATCATCTTAGTCGTTTATTTTTCCAATCAACGTCTGATAAAATAAGCTTTTCTGCTATTCATTAATGTATAACATATATTTTGCTTATTAATGATTCAAATATTCTATTAATAGAAAAAAAATCTTATATTTCACTTCTATTTTTCTTGTTGTTGTTAGGAGCAAAAGTATGCAACGCATTTGAAACTAAATTTTTCGCATCTTTTCAAGATGATCTCATTATATAATGTTATTTATTTGTTTTGGATCAATATAAAAATTCTTTGTCTTGTAGGGAATAACAATAAACATTCACGGCGAGTATATATAATGACAATGAAATTTCAAAAAGAGAACATGTTTTAATAAAAAAAAAGAAAAGGTTTCAGTAATATGAAAAGCAAACAAATGCAAATGTAAATCATTTTCGATTTTTCTTGAACAGTAAAATAAGCAGGACAAACTACAATATTTTTTTTACATTAAGCTGTATCTTTTTTGTTCTTTTCTTTTCATCATAGCAAACGAAAACAACTGAACATAAGACAAAACAACACCGACACTATACGTTCTTTACATGAAAAACAGATCATCAATAGAAAAATTAAATAATAAACATATGTACGAAAACATTGTTGAACTTTTCTTTCCTTTTTAATGAGATTGACATAACCATTGACAATCACAAAAAAGGAAAACGTGCAAAATAGACGAACAAAGAAACATAAACGTAGAAACTCGTAATAAGAACAGGATTTCACCGGACTTTCATGCCTTAGAATAAATATCTTTATGACTGATGATGATGATGATGGGGCTCTGTTGAATCAGATGATTTTGGATTAATTGTATTATCATTAGTAGTCGTTGGTTTATCAGCATCCGAATATGATGTTGATTGTTCTCTCCACATAGCTGCATATACACCATCAGGTTTTGCTAAAAGTTCATCATGTGAACCACGTTCAACAATGGTACCTTCACTAAGAACAATAATAACATCAGCATGTGAAATAGTTGATAAACGATGAGCAACAATTAGTGTTGTACGTCCTTCACAAACACTTTTTAATGCTGATTGAATTTGTCGTTCAGTAAATGTATCTAAACGAAAATAAAAAACAAAAAGTTAAAATCAACTAAAAGAAAAAAATTTTAACCAAGTGCTGATGTTGCTTCATCTAATAAAACAATAGCCGGTGCTTTAAGAAGTGTTCGAGCTATGGCTACTCGTTGCTAAAAAAAAGAAACGTAGGAAAAAAAAAGCATATTTTTATTTTTATTTTTTATACTTTTTCACCACCAGATAATTTCAAACCACGTTCACCAACAATTGTTTTATATCCTTCAGGAAATGTATTTATACGATCTAAAGATCAATAATTGATGATGATTTTTCTTTATTGAATTCTTTTTTCTCACCATGCATTTCAGCTGTACGTGCAGCATTTTCAACTTCTCGATCACTTGCTGTAACTCGACCATAACGAATATTATATAAAATATCTTTATTAAATAAAACAGTATCTTGTGGTACAACACCAATCGAACGACGAATTGAATTTTGTGTTACAGTTGAAACATCTGTACCATCTATTTTAATTGAACCACTTTGAATATCATAAAAACGAAAGAGTAAACGAACAATTGTACTTTTTCCTTGAAAAGAAAGATATATTATTTTTCTTCTTGAAATTCAATTTTTTAAGTGCTATTACACATAAATCATGATCGATTCTACTTAATCGATAGTCGCCGATTTACCTAGTTTATATATATATATTATAGAGACAAGCGTTTGATGAATTTCTAAACAAGTCGTTCAAAACAATCATGTTTTGTTCTCGAAATATATAGATTTTTTCCAAGATCATTATTGCCAACACAAACACATTTTTTGCGATTTTTTGGTAACAGCTATATTTCATTATGGATGTATTCGTTGGGTTTGCAGGTTTGGTACCTACCATAAAGAATGAGTTCGAACGGATGAAACACTGATGAGGTGACCAATACTATCAACTACACAAAAAAAATTGTCATTTTTTGATATTTTATGCGTATACATATTTCGTGAACGAATCATGTTAACAAGTTGAAATTTTGGTCAGAGATAACGACCTCAATGGGTGATAATTTTCGTAAAAGGTTTACCGTTTAGATAGACCCTATCACTCAGAAGACCTTCGCCAATATCGTGATTTTCAGAGCAATCGATATACAAAAATAATCAAATCTATATAAGTTGGAGTTGCATGGTTATAAATTACATGGGTACTACTTTGGTAAGACTCCGCAGTCTACTCTACGACGTCCCATGAAGATTCTTGTAGAAATTCTCGGTACTCAATGTGAAATGTAAAGTCATACAACTCTGACTTCTATTTGTCAGATTTTCCTCTGGATTGTTTGCTTCGAAAATCATTATTTTGAGCACAATCACGATTTTAACATAGATCTTCTGAGAAATAGAAGTTATCTAGAAGAGTAAAGTTTTTACCAGAATGAGTACTCATTGAGATCTCTCTCTGAGCTAAAGTTCAACTTTTTAACATGATTCACTCACGATATATGTTGATCTACAAAATATCGAAAAATGACAATTTTTTCGTGCATTTGTTAGTATTGGTCAACTAAATCAACCGTTGATCTATTTGAGCTCAATCTTTTATGGAAGATACCTACACCTTCAGATGTATTTACTCTTGAAATTTCAAACGTAACGAATTTATTCGTGATGCGATATAGTTGCCATAAAAAGAAGTGCTTTTTTGGCGATTGCCACTTTAGAAAAAACGTGTATGTTTCGAGAATGAAACAAAATTTTTTGGAATAACTTGTGTAAAACCTAGATAAATCGACGACTATCTATTAATTAAAATTGATCGTGGCCTACATGAAATAGTTCTTAAAGGATAGAATATCAAAATAAATAACCTGCTCCTGAAGGTCCAACAATAGCTATAGTTTGTCCAGGTAAAACGCTAAATGATACATTTTTAAGAATAGGTCGCTCGGGTTGATAATGAAAACAGACATTATCAAATTCCATCGTTCCATTGGTAATAACAATATCTTTAGCAAATGGTGAGTCTACAACATCAGGTTTAATATCAAATAAATCAAGCATATTTTCCATATCAATAAATGCTTGTTGAATAAGACGATAATATGTACCAAAATAATTTAATGGTGCATATAATTGAAGTATATATGTACCAAATAAAACATAATCACCAACAGTTAATTCACGTTTGACACTAACAAGCCAAGCACAATAAAGTGAACCAATTGTTAAACCAATACCAATTAAAATTGCTTGAACGAAATTTAAGAGTTGTAATGTTAATACACTGAACCATTCAGCTAATTAAATAAGAATATGTTTGAAATAAAAACTTTGCTTTAGCTTTTATTCTTTATTTACCTTTTTGATAGTTTTGTATAGCCTCTCGATATTGTCCAACTTCATATTGTTCTGCACCATAGTATTTCACGGTTTCAAAATTCAATAATGAATCAACAGCAGTTCCACTCATAGCATTATCAAATTTATTCATATCTTTTTTATATTTTGTTCGCCATTCTGTTATAATAATGGTCGCTATAAGATAAACAAACATTGTTGCAAATACAATTATACCAAACCTTAAGAAAATTCAACAAATTATGCAAAATTAATAATACAAAAAAAACTCTCCTACCAAATATTAAATTGTACAACAAAATAGATAATAGCAATAATAATATCTGCTATGGTTGGAAATATGCTAAATAATATATAATCAAGTAATGAATCAACTGAATCTGTACCACGATCAACAATACGTAGTACTTCACCAGTTTTTCGTGTCAAATGCCAACTTAATGATAAATTATGCAAATGTGAAAATACTCGAAGTTTTAATGACCGTGTTGTATATTGTTCAATTTTTGTCCATAATGCTGATCGAAGAATTCCTAGTGCACCAGAACCAAATGGACCAGCGCCTATTAAACAAAACGATTTAATGCAAATAAACATTCAAAAAACACTCTCTTGCTACTTACCTTGTAAAAATCGAAAAACCATTAAAACAGTTACTAATTTCCATGGCCAACTATTTGGTGTACGTAATCGAGCACCAAAATTAAAAAATGTATCAGTTGTACTATTACTCGATTGAATTAATTCATCAGCTATTTTTATTAACAAAAAACAAAGTATTAGAAGAGAATATTTTTTTGTGTTTTTAATTTAAAATTGAAACCTACTGATTAATTTTGTATATCTTGGTACTTCTAATGAAAGTAATCGACCAGCTACAAGAATTAAAATACAAATCATAATATTTAGTTGTAATCCCCAATGTCCACTTGGCCAAATAAATGGTGCTAAAGTTTTAAAATGTCGAAAAAATTTAATCCAAACATTGTCTTTCATGCGTTCTTCTTGAATTTGTGAATTAGAACGATTTAACATAATAGCATAACGTCGTTGTGGTACACCAGGTGCACGAAGACCAATACAAAATATTAATATTGTTGCAATTAATCGAAATATCCAATAACTAAAACGAATTATATCAATTTCTTCAACTGGTGGATCACCTCGAAGTATTGGTTGAAAAAACCATAATGGTGATCGATAAGATATTATTGCACATAATTCAATTAAAACTGCTATACACCAAAACGTAAGTATCGTTAAACCATGACCACGTGTTTGAGATGTTGGCATTCTTTTAGTTCGTTCAACACGAAGTATTAATAGTGAAAGTAACCAAGCAATTGTACGAAGAACACAACGAAATATTGTATAACTTGGAAGCTAATTCAAATTAAAAAGAAATAAATCAAAAAAAAACCAATTTCTTTTTTTCTCTATATTGACAAAAAAACTAGTTACTTTAGTTTTTCCAAATGCTGTTGTTTCAGTTGCATATAATAATATTGGTTCACATGCTAAGAGAATTATTAGTATAACTTGAATAACATATAAAACTGATGCATCAATATATTCACGTTCAATTTTGAATCCATATCGTCTAATAATAAAAAAGAATAAATCAATATTAACTCGTATAAATAAACATACTTATAAAATATGTATTGTATTAAACCCCAAATAAATATAAAACCAAATAAAATCGATGTTGTAACAGTATCAAAGAAACATAATGTAAAACCATTTTGAGTCCAAACAACCATTCCACTACTAACTGATGTCTCATTTGATGAACAAAACATTGTCGTAAAAAATTTAACAAAATATTTAAATAAATATTAAAGCTAAAATAAGAGAAAAAGAAACTTTTTGTTGTTATTCAAGTTAAGTTTGTTGTTTGTTTTGGATTATTAGATAATAAATAATTCATATATAATATGAGATTTATGATGAATGAAAAAGAAAAAAAGCGACAAGTCACTTAAACATAGACTTTTTTTTTCAATATAATACAAACAGAAAATATTCTTTAATGTCAATTACTCGGAAATAATAGGCAAACAAGTAAAAAACAATATGAGTGACTACGGACAGAAAACAAAAAATAAACAACCAATCGGATGGGTTAAAGAATACAACCAATGAATGAATGACTCATTGATATAGTTATACGAAAATTAATTTTTATTATCATTATTGTTTCTTTTTTTTCTAATTAATTTTTCTTAAAAAATTATTATGTTATACATGAAATCTATGATATAATAAAGATCTTTGCAGTTTTCATTGTTTTTATTTTACTTCATAGTTGATTTATGACTTAAAAGTTTAAATTTAAACAGATGTCTGTCTCCTCACAGCAGGAGTGTCTCAAAGTCGTGAGAATTGAGAAGAGGCTAATAAAAAAAAAAACTTTAGCTAAATAGAAGCGGATTTTAGACGGAATTAAGTATTGTTCGAGAAGGTGAGGAGAGGGGAGGGGTCAGTAAGCAAAAAAATAAAAATAAAATGCTGAAGAAAGACGAACTTTTTTCAAGATTGAAGAAGTCGTTTGTTTGGGAGAGCTTTGACTCACCGATTTAATATAACTTTATTAAATAATGATCGAGCTGTCTTTATATTCTATTGACATAATATCTGTGAATATATGCCATAATAATGATATTCTACTTAAACTAGTAATTCAACATATCCTCTCGCTGGGGTTAACGATTATTTTGTGCTTTAAATATATGCACTTATCTATTGTATCTAATATCATGTTCTAATGAGAATTTGAACATATGTTAATAAATAAAGTGAAATGCATGGATCTTGTTTAGAAAATTAAACGAATAAATATTTATGATAGCGGTGGCACCAAGCTTTTTGGTTGGAAACAGAGAAGAAGGACTGATTTCTCTCAGGCTTTCTGTTGGACGATCTTTAGCAACAATTTTAAGCTTCTTGTGGGGGGGGGGGGGGGAGGCTAAGTATCCTTGTGATGCTGCAATTAGGTTTTGATTTTATAGTCATAAATGTTCAAATTAAAAAAGAAAGTTGATTAGTTGTAAACTTTCAGCTGAACAAAATTAGCTATCAGTAGCAAGATGATTTCATTTTACAATGTCCTATTAAATTTTCTTTTCTTCAAGAAGAATAGTTCGTACATATTCGTGGACTTCTACGACATAATTTAGTCAAGAAATTCAATTTGTAGATAAGCAATCGAAATCTGATCAAATAATAAGCCTTTGTTTCATATTAAATAAGCACATCTTGATAAAAAAAAAATATTACAATTACGATTGACACGGCTCATATTACAAGTATGTATTAATTTAAATTCTTCAGTCGGAGATACTTAGTGGAATATTCTCAGCAGTTAACGGCATATGACTTCAACTCAACGATATTCACAATTCTCAAGACTTGTTGACAACCATCAATAAATAAATTTTCAGCAATCAAAGGATCTTTGTTGTTTTTTTCTGTTCTGGCTTAATATGATAACGTCATCTTTATTTTATGGTTACTGAAACTATACACTAACGACCAATAAAGACACATATACGAATATTGTTTAAATGTCATGTGATAGACATTTTGTAATAAAAAAAACAAAAAAGATAATCAATATTTTTTCCTCAGTGCAATATGGATTTATACATAAGAAGTTATCTGAAAAAAAGTTTAATAAATTACAATTGATAAGTTATTGCATCACATGATTGTTTGTAGGATGAGTCATTATAATTCGTTTTTATTTGTCGGTTATTTATTTTAACTATAAGAAATTATGGCATCGGATAGGAACGATCTTATTCAAAGTGTACGACGTGGTGATCTAGTTCGAGTTCGGTATGAATTTGATTGTTAATTTCTTATACTTTAAGAAAAACAAACAAAACATTTGTCTTCTTTTATTGAACAATATTTTTATATTTAGTTATCTTGTTGAGCAAAAAGAAGTTGAATTAAATATTCGAGATAGATGGGATTCGACACCATTGTAAGTTAAATTTATTCTATTGTAATTATATAATAAAATTTCACAAATAACGCTATAGGTATTATGCTTGTTTATGTGGTCATTTGGAAATAACTCAATATCTGCTGGATAATGGTGAGAACGATATATAAGAACTGATGTAATTTGATTTTTCATTATATGCAGGGTTAACCAGAAGTTCTAGACTCTCATAGAATAAAAATCTTTGCTTTGAAACAAATATATAAAAATACTCAAAGTTTTTCATCATATTCTTTTTTTGCAACTAGATGAATATGATTCTTGAATGTGGTAACTCTAGCCGTACCAATAAGAGATGTAAATAATCCATATTGTAGTTTTGGATGAAAATATGGACCCAAAAATGTACAATAGACGAAGACATCCAAATGAATAGATACAATTACATTCAATGATTAATTAAATGTCTATAATAGATTTATAAAATTCTATTCAATGTCGTTTGATTACATAAAAATTTTGGAGCATAGTTCATCATTGGCTTGCAATAGGTTTTTATCAAAGTGCTTTCTATTTCTCGAGTTTTCTTTTGTTTCATTGTATTTGATAAAATAAACTTAATATTTATTTATTTATTTACAAGAGATTTAGATGGCAAATTTTGTAATAAGGAGAAAAAAGTTTTTTTGTTTTCAAAGAACGTCAAAAATTTTTAAATTTATGCTATAATCTTGTTTGTTTTAGGTGCTCGATGTGAAGCAAATACATTTGATGGTGAACGTTGTCGATATGGAGCTTTAAATGATACTATTCGAACATTATTAAAAAATTATAATGTTTTAACAACACGAACAGTTAAACGAAATACTTATGATGAATTTTTACGAAAGTAAAATTTTGATATTGAAATTAAATTTTTCTCATATAAATATATTTAGACTTTATGAACAAGGTTTATATAGTGATGTAACATTTATTGTTGATGAACGAGTATTTTCTTTACATCGATGTGTATTAGCTGCACGTTCATCATTTTTTCATGAAGCATTTGAAAAACGATGGCATGAAAAACGTCTTATTAATTTAACAAAAGCAAAAGTAATTTCTTTTATTAATTATTTTAATCATACAAAAAACTAAAGAACTTTTTTTCATTTTAGTTTAATGCAGAAAGTTTTGAATCGGTAGTTCGATATTTATATACGAATTGTTGTGAAATATCATTGGATAATATTGATAGTGTTAAAGCATTAGCTAGAAGTTGTCATGTACCTCAATTAATTGATTTAATTGAACGTAAAAAACATGCAATAGAGCAATGGCGTATGTTCATCTAAATTTTCATCGTTTTTGTTTTTATCGAAAATTTTGTTTATATTTTAGATGCAAGTAAAACCGTATCATCAAATATCTATCGTCTTGTAATTGAACCTGATGATGATGATGATAGTATACGATTAGATTTTCGTATGCTAGCTGAACAAGCTATTCCATTAGAACTTCGTCAATGGGTATGAAATTGAATAATGAAAATTTTGATACTATCGAATCATTGTTCAATCAAATAGTCTATATTCAATCACTTAAGGATGTCTCCTTATCTTTTCGCCATTTCTAAATCTTGAAGAGGGTACAATGGATCTGTATGAAATTTTTACTCCATATAGAGTACCGAAAATCAGGAAACACACAAGTTTTAAATAAATTTTCCGCAAGTTTTTCAGCCAAATTCTGCTTTTACATAGGACTAAATCGAATTTACTTATAGCTTTTGTCTAACTTTACTCAATCAGGTAGAAATTTCGATAACAGATACTTGAAAGTATTCTCTAGAGGTAAAATCAGCAATTGTCGTTTTTGACTTTTCTATCAGGATTTATATAAGACTGAACGCCAACATTTCGATTGTGGATCAAAACCTGTATGCTTTTCTCTCAAAAAAAAAAGAAAGCCTCATTTTGAAGAAGCTTAAAATCGCTTCTGAGACATAATCGAAGATATCTTCAAAAAAAATTCAGTTTGATCGGACAAAGACAGTGATTGTAAGCGGATTCGATGTGATACTTTCGAAAAATAGAGTTTTCTCTAAAAAATTAAAACAATTTTATGTACGGAATTATTTTATATGACACGTACCTTGTTTTAGGTATTCTATCTTTGGTAAAAATTTCATGTGAATCAAATGTTCTCTACGAGAACTAAACATCACCAAAAAAAAGAGTAGAGTATCCTTAAAGGTAGCTGGTTAAAGCCAGGAGCTGTTATAATTAGCATCAGAATTGTTTACTAGTTCCTGATATATGATCACATTTTTTTCTTCTGCGGTAAGTCTAAAACAATAACATCAGATTGTTTCAAACGATTCAAAATAATGCTTATACAGAATACTTCATTCAAAATTCAAAACAGCTTTTAATGGGCTTTATTTGGTCTACAAAGCGTACGATTTATTTTTGTACGAAAAATTTAAAATTTTTTTTGATTATTAGAAGCACTTTTTGAAGCAACGATTTTTTGGTAAATGTCTATTTTCATAGAAACTAGCTCGTGCGTTGAAAGAAATTTCACCTATTATAATATATCATGTTGTAGAGAATTTAATGCTCTATAAGAACGTTTACTTAAAGCTATACTAACACACAAACTAAAGACTCCATCAGAATCGCTAATTTGCCTTGTACAGACACAGTTTTGGACTTTTTTCACAACATATACTGATAATTGTTCATTATATCTCAGAGAAAAAAAATCTTAACGTATATTCGTCATTAGCGAAAAATTCTGATATCTTTTTAGAATATTATTTCAATTAATTTTTCCGTTTTTATACATTATATTTCATGTATCAGTTAATATATCAAATGAATTCATATTTCTGAAAGTGTCAACTTCGTTTCTAACCTTGAGATAGTTATTAGTCTGATTGACGTTTTTTTTCTCTATCAAAACATACATTAAAATTGATTATTATCAATAAGGACAGATATTAATCTTTAATCAGAATTCTGATAAATAAAAATAAAATTCGTTCGTGTTTACCAATTAAGTAAATTCTTGACTTAAAATTGATTCAACAATATAAGTTAGATTAGGAAAATAATTTAATCTTTTTTTTTTTTCTTTATTATTTGAAGATTGCTGGTAGTGAAATGCCATTTATTGATCAACCGCATTTGGATACATTTTCTGATCTTATATTTATTGTTGATGAATCTTATTATTTTCATGTTCATCAAGCATTTATGTGTACACGAACAGAATATTTTTCAGCTATTGTTAAAAATCATTTTAATGAACTGTTACCAAATACAGAACAACAAAATAATGAAAAATCAACTGTCATTTTGAAACATATTCATAAAGAACATTTTATTCCACTTTTATATTATATTTATTCAGATGATTGTGAAGTTAAAATTTTTTTTGTAAAATATTACATAAAATTTTATTTTATTTTATTTTTTTCAATATAGATTTCAACTGATTGTGTTGATGATTTACTTGTAATTGCTGATGAACTTCTTTTACCTGGTTTAAAACGTCTTTGTGGAAATACTTATTCAAAATTACTTAGCAATGAAACAATTATGTCAATACTTCGTCTTGCACGTTTATTTGAATTAATTAAACTTGAACATCAATGTATTCGATTTATTAGTGATCATCTAGAAGAGGTTCATATGAATTATTGTTTTTTTTATGTTAATTGAAAAATAAATTTCGTTCATTTAGGTATTACAACAAGATGAATTTAAAAAATTTGTTCTTGAAGATGCTGCCAGTGTAGTTGACCGACAAGAGACTGATACTGTGCCCATAATTGATGATTTAAGATTTTATTTGGCTGAATTTTCAACAGTTAATCGTTCGGATATGGATGAAACATTAGAAAAAATGAAATTACTTGATGATTTTCTTGAAGATATTGGATTAAATGCTTGATAAAGACGATTTTTTCTTTCTAACTGAAATAACTAAATAGGTGAGGAATGAATAAACTCAGTTGTTTTCCTTATTGAGAAAAGAGTGGATCTTTTAAAGAAAATTTTGAGCACTTTTTCAAAACGATAGTTGTTAATCAAACTAATGTATAGTGTTTGTAGAAAAACTCTGAGACAAATAATGAATATATGAGAACGGATCAGAGGATATGTTTTTAGTACTATTTTTCTAGTGGTTTCAATGTTTTCTTACGATTGCAAAAGTATTATCTGTTATTTTTGTCTAATATTTTAATAAAAATATGTGAATAAGGATATATACATACAAGCAACAACATAACATTTTATAAGTGTATGTGATAAATATTATAACAAATCGAACATTATATAACCAAGTTGCAAATTCAAAAGATACTATTCATGATAATGATTGATTTTCTTGTAGTCAAACTAAAATGTTATCATGTTTGTTTTTCATCGATAGAACGATATATGCAGATCCAAATCAATAAAATATTTAGTTCATTTCAAACTGATTTCTATTACTAATAATTTATTATTGATTATGACGAGGAAACTCTTCTAATTGATAAACTTCGGTCGAGCTCATATTTTGCTGATTATTACGGCCCATGGTACAGATAAAAGTCCCAAAAACGATTTGTGTCATTAGCACGTTCTTCTTTAATTATGATCATTTTACTGAACTCTTAGTCTATTGCATGATAAGATGAAGAAAACTGAATCGAAGAATTTTAGTCTTAAATATTACTTCGAAATAGACTTTCTGGCCCATTATAATATCCTGAAGATTTCAGCAAAAACGGATGCTTCTATGTCAAAATAACAGAGTTGCAAAACTGTTACGTAAGTATTTCTGTTTTTCTACTGTGTCACTTCATTCACGAATGTTTGGCAAGCATAAATCATGCACTTTTCAAAAGAGGATAAAATTTCTCATTAATAGATGAAAAAAAATTTCCTTTCAGAACCCATTTATTAAACAAGTATATGAATCGACATTTTGTACAGTCTTCGTATAGAAAAAGTGCGGATTTCTTCTAAGAATATTTCTTTTTTTGTGCTGTGTCGCTTCATTTATGAATGTGTCATAAAAATAAGTTGTTTACGGTTCGAAACAGAGGAAAATGCTCTATCGTTCGATAAAAAATTGTTTTCTTGCAGCATCCCCTTTGATCGACGAGAAATAAGGATCGACATTTTGTACTATTAGCTTTGAATTGGAAGTTTTTTTTCAGACAATATTTCACACTAAAAAATGAGCTCGAACGAAGATTATTAATTAGTTGAAAGAGCTTTCTCGTTAACGAAATTCAACTCAGAAAACGTTCATTCGCTAATTTACGTCCTTATTATTGTCCATTATTCAAATTCATTTTCTCAAATTCTTATATGTAATTATGCATCATTAAAAAAGAAACGAGATTCATCAACAGGGATTGTATTTCTTTGTCTTATGATTAGCTACCTGAATAAAGCACATGGAAATTGTGCTGAACAAGATCTCTTCGAAATAAAAATACTTATCAGCCTCAATTGTCAAATCTTAACACCAGATACAAATCATTTGCAATGATAATAAATAAGTTTACCAATCCTGCAGTACATCTCAATTGTACGAAATTGAAAAGTCGTAATTTAATTGAGTCGTTTGTTCTTATAGAAAATTTTTTGTTAGTATGTTCCATTTATAGAAATATTGTTTTTTTTGCTAAAACTTATTCGAATAAACGAAAACAATTTGTAAAAGTTAAATCTATTGAAATGACGTTGATCAACCTAAATACAATCATGGAATAGAAGAAAGACAAAATTTTTTTTGATCTATCTGCGTCTTCAAAAAAAAAAAAGTTTATTGGTTTTTTTAAAATTTCTATCGAGACTTGTAAGATGAACAATGTTACATTTCAACAAAAACAGTTTTCTCATATTTATTTTTAAAAACTAATGAAACATGTTTTCGTATAGTTGATAAGCTAGATTATTTTATAAACAATCTTTTCATATTTACTTTTGCTAAACAACTTTCATTTCCACATCAAATACATTCATCAATTCTTTAATTAATTGGAACTTGTTCAAATAAAATTATTTTTTTAATATTAATAAAGATTTTTGTTTCTATCAAATAATACTGAACAGAAAAAAAAAGTCTTCCCATTACCGAGAATGAACAATATAAAACATAAGAAAATAGTTTTGCTTTATTTTTATTTCACATTAGTTCATATTGTTGTCGATCTTTATATTCTGAAATAAGTCCAAGTATGGCACAAGTCAATAAAAATGTTATAAGAAAAGCGTCCAGAACAATAAGTGTAATATATCGTCTGCGAAGATAAGAATAAACAGGCTCAGCAAAACCACGTACATTCATTTTATCTTCTCTAACCACAGTATTGTCAGCAGAGCTTGAAGGGTGTTTATTTATTGCAATGACAGTATCTTCGGTAAACTCTGTAGTTATTATAAGACAACACGAGTCAGATGGATTTCTTTCATAATATAATTGATTTTTTTCATTAGTTGCTTGATTAACATCACAACATCCAAATGCTGCTTGAATATGTCCAATAGTATGTTGAGAACGCATAACTTCATTTGATGCTGAATAATTACGAAGAAGATGGCCAGTAGTATAATATGTCTGATGTCGAAGATTATGAAGACCAACAGCAAGAACAACAAGACATATTATAGTGAAGACAACAACAACCAGCATTAAAATAGAAAATACTATTGTTAATGCTGGAAATTTACGATTAACAACATATAAAAGACTAGTTGCAAAGATAATAGTTAATAAACTAATCAAAACATTATAGATTGATAATGAATATATCTCTTTCCATGAAGCTCGAAGAGAACTTGTGTCATGGACAAAGATGCATCCTGTGATGAGAAGAGCAATACCAATAGCAATTGATAAAGTACTTGCTACGGCGCAAGCTGTTGAAAATTTTTTAACCATTTATTTTTATACAATGATAATTCGTTCTCTACTGAGTTGCCTGTAGATTTCTATTTAAGGTAATGGAGGAACAAACTGAAATGAATACAAATCGTATACAATATGTTTATTTGTAAGTAACAACGTCAATCAAGCGTTAATTTTTTTTGCTGTTCTCTTTTTTTCTCTCTACCTCTCATATATTTGGTCCCTGTGTCTTAATTGAAGATTGCCGTTATATTAATCATTATATTTGGGACCAAAAAATAAGTTTTGTTTACGACAGTCAAGTTTTCATAAGCATATATTGATTATACATAAGCATGCCAGAAAGAACTGCCCATCTAAATATAGTTTATTATCTTGGATATTATATCTCTGCAATCATGCACATAATTAAGTCTGGCATACTATTTTTTTTCTGTCTTTTCGTTTTTTTTTTAATGACCATACGCAAGTAATTTATTAAGAATAAATAGTTGATAACGAATATTTTCATGTGAAGCATAGAAAAAAAAAGTAACATAAAGGTCTCTAGTTCGTATGAAGTGTAACGAAATAAAAAAAAAATGAAGCATATGTAAACAAAATATTGTTGAAATAGTGAATTCTAATTAACTTTCTGTTTTGTAGGGTGTGTTATGCATTTTTCAATTAAACTTACGATGAATCTGGTCTGAGTGAAACTTTATTTTTTCTTAGTATATAATCATTGACAAACTAACATATTTCTGATTATTTTTCGTGATATGAAGATAGGTAGCAATTGTGAACGATACACAATGAATTTGCATAATGATAAAGAAAATTGAAATCATGAATAAGTTTAAGAATTTATTTTGTTGTTTTATCAATCCTACTTCTATTAGAAAATATTCAATGCCTTATTGAAAAGAATTCAGCTGAGAATAAACACATCAGTGAGAAAGATTACCCTACCAAATCTACAATTTAAATCAAAAAGATTACAAAGTGTTATGAAATAAGCAAGTGAACTTCAGAATTGAAAAAGCATCTCTCTGAATCAATCAAAAAAAGAAACAAGCATTTCAAAAGAAAAGGTCCAAGAATGTTGATGAGTTTATGTGTTCAACGAAATATATTGCTCAGATTATTTCATATAATATTTATTATGAAGCTTATCTATTAGATCGTCCCGAATGCTAAAACAATTTATGAAGAATATTTTAAATAATAATATTCGACAAGTAAACAATTTAGATTAGATGTTGAGTAAATATGAACTACAGATGATCTAGTGAAATATCTTATTATGAAAAGCAACACTTATTAAGTTTCGACAATGTATAGCTGAAACTGATCCCACTGAAATATTTCGAATTAATTTAATGTGAATATCTCTTTGAACATTCGAGTAACTTGCGTGAGGTTTCTTTTTATAATTTCAATTTAATATTTATTAAAGCTTTATTTCACATAAATTTGTTTCTAACACATGTACCAAATAATTACTTATATATGCAAGATGTACATCTGTTATTTTTGAAAATATCTGTAAAAAAAATAAAATTTAATTTGAAATCTTTTTGATCTTCTGATGCATTTTCATTTTCAACATAACAAGATTTTGAATAGACTTCATAAATACAAAGAACTATTGAAACTGTTATACAATTTTGAATGGGCGACGTTTCTTATGTGATGTGAGAAAGTCAAATGTTCAGACAATTGTTTCCGCTGAAACTTTATCAATTGAGAAAAATACTTTATTATGCTTTAAGTTATGATTTTACTCCAAAAGCAAGAAGCTTATGCTAGATAAACTCCATATCATTTCACAATAATGGAGTTCCTCTATATTTCAGCTGTGAAGTCTGTCACAATCTAGAGAGAATTTTCTCCAAGCAAGTACAACAGAAGCGAAAACTCATTTCAATAGGCATTATGGTCAGCTGAACAGTCAGAATTCAATGTTTTTTTTCATAGGAATAATCCTTGATGGAAATAGCTGGAAAAATTAAAGAGATATGCACGTTTCTTTTTCAATCAGCCTCTAGGAATATTGTGTACGGATGCGTATTGTTATTTAAAATTAGTCTTCATAATGATTACATCGTCAATAGAATCCAATCATTTTGATTTCGAAGTTCTAAGACATCAAAATTTTCAAATCAAATTTGATTATTTTAAAACCAGAGTTCATTGAAAGTTGTTCTATTTAGATCAAATATAACTGTATTTTCTTACTAAGTGTTGCATATTCGTCATATTTTCATAGTATCTGCTCACCTATCAGAGCCTTGAATCGAACCACTAATAATTCAATTATAAAGTACAACTTGGTCTTATATGACAGAGGTTTTGACAACTTAAGAATTTACAATAATTGGAACTCTTTTCTTGAGACAAAAACTTTATTGCATAGTTCAAGGTTACAACTTGAAATCTAGCCATTAGGAATATCTACGATTATTCTTATAATCGCTTGCAGTCTTTTTAAAATTAATTTAAAAAATGTTTAATTGGAGAAAAAAAAATGTGCGTAAAATGTTATTGAGTTACGTCAATGTAACAAAGTGTCCTGTAAAGTATAATCATAACAGAAAAAAGAAAAGCAAAGCAGATAAATAAGATCAGAGAAGCACTTTTCCTAGCCAAAAAAAATCATATTTTGTCCTCAACATAGAATAAGAATAAGAAAGCAACATTAACAGACGTTCATAGGAATTCTTTCTGACATTTTCGCAGAGACGAGTAAATACAATTGAAGAATATTAATAAAAATATGAAAAATAATGAAATCTAAAAAAGTAGGACAACTTTTAAACAGCAAAATTTTTTTGCTAAACGCAGAAGAAGTGGAAACCTTCGTCAAATGGCGTATTAATAGAGAATCTAGCTGAATCATATAAAATACCGTGACATAAAAAAAAACATCATCATCGATGCATGAAATAATGTTTTTTTTTCTCCATTATTATAGTTAAATGAGTATATGAAGAAACAAATAATGCATATTTAAGAGACAAGAATAACTGTTTATTTTTGCAAAATGTTATCAAAAATAAAATAACTTTATGCAGCAAATTATATCTTTAGCGCAATGTATATAATATTGAAAGAATGGCTGCATAAAGGATAGTTATATTTGTCAGAAAAGTAACGAACAAAACAATTTTTCATTTACATGATATATATCTATAACAAAAAAAAATGCATTTACAAATAAGAAATCATCTAGATATATGATTACGAGATATATTGATAAAAGTCAGACTAAATGTTTATTTTATATTTTCTAGCATCAATCATTATTTGAAATAGACTCACAAAGAATTTGATAGGAATATGTGTTGACGTACATATTCTGTGATTTTGTTTGACAACGATTTCAAAATTATTTGTATTTCTCATTATTGTCGAATGAATAAAGTACGAAAACAGAGAGATTTTTTTACTGATTGCGAACTAACTTGTTGGTAATGAATGTTATGCTTATAGCTTTTGTTGACTTCAACAATATGGTTTCTCGTCATCTTTTAGTCTTAACTATATATAAATGAAAATAAAGGTTAAGAATATAATGGCAGATTTAAGTTTAGAATAGTTGCATTTTTGAGTTTTCTTCTCGATGAAAATAGTCAGGAAGAAATTGAAATTAAATGCTTGAGTAATTGAAAAGATTCTCTATCAGAATTGGTAAATCTAAAAACTTCAATAAAACTGCTTGGATGACGATGTCTGGAAAACTAAGACCTGCCAAAATGAAAAATTCCGATGATTTTGCCATGTTTGAGACATCTGATTTGGCTCAGAATTATTTGTTCTATCAAACAAAAAACATTTTAAAACAGCTTCAAATGGATATTAGAGAACTGGTAGTTGCAGTTCTCGTTTTTTAGACATTCTCATCAAAATAGTTTTGTTGAAATCTTTTAGACTCATCAATTTTGATACACAGTACTATTAACTACTTAAGTATTTTTTCAGATTCTTCCTAGCTATAACCAGCGAAAAGAAAATTCAAAAATACGAGCTGCTCTAAAATTTTGTTAGTTACTCTAGATAAGAGTTATATTATTATAATTATTCAAAAGAAAAATTCGTTCAATTTGTTGACAGTAGAATCAATACCGTTGAATTGACTTATCTAACACACATTTAAATAAAAGTTTGCGATGTTCTTTTTTTGTGTCTCAAATGAACTTTAAATGGAGTAATCTTTCTCAGTGATGCACTATCCATGATTTCAATTTGCTTTCTCACTATTTAAATTCAGTGCATATGATCACATCTACTACTTTCTTCACGTAACAATAATTAATTAACATATATTAATTTTTCAATTATTCTACAAAGAAAAGAAAAGTTTCACTTAGATCAGATTTGTCGTAAGTTTAATCGAAAAATGCACAACACATTTATAAAATATAATGCTAATTAGAATTCACTGTTTCAATGCTATTTTGTCCAAATCTATGCTTTATTTTTAATAGGTCATTATACTTTATATGAATCAGACACCTTGCTGTTACTTTTTTCTACGTTTCAAATGAAAGCCTTCGTTGTTAATTACCTGCTCAAAATTGATTAATTGCGTTTGTGCATCACAAAAAAAAAGGAAAAGACAGAGGAGAATAGTATATCTGACTTCATTATATACATATAACTGCGGAGATAAATATTCCAGATAATAAAACATATTTAAATGGATGGTTTCTCCTTGTATGTTTACCTTTGATCAATATATGTTTATGATAACTGGACAGTTTCAAATGAATTTGTTTATTGTTGACCATGTGGTGACTAATAAAATAAACGAGCATCTTCAATTAGTTTTAAAGACAACATCTATGAAACTTAGAGAAAAAAGCGAACAGCAAAAAAATTAACGCTTGACTGACGTTGTTGATTGTCAATAGGCATGTTGTATTCGATTTTTACTTACTGCAGCTTGTTTCTCTATTAGAATAAATAGAAACCTGCATACACTCAAGAATAGTGTCGATTGTCATTGTGTCAATATAAATGTTTAGAACACATTCATTAGTTTGCTGCACAGCAAGTGCTTTAACAGCCATTGTTGGTGTTGCTCTTTTAATCGCTGGGTCCGTTTATATTCGGGACACAAGTTCTCTTCGAAGTTCATGGCATGAGATATATTCATTATCAATATATAGTGTTGTTATTGGTATATTGGCTTTGTTATTTGCAATATGTCTTTTTTATGTTGTTAGTCGTAAACTTCCGGCATTAACAATACTCTTCTCTGTTTTAATTCTTATTGTTTTCGTCCTTGCTATAATAAATCTTATTGTTTTTGCAGTGTGTATCGGCGATCTTCAAGATGATTCTTACAAAAAGACTGTAGATCTTTTTCGTAATTATTCAAATTCGGATTCGGTTGTAAGTTCAAAAGTATTTTTCGGACAAATTCAACAATCATTTCAATGTTGTGGTGTCAAAGAAGCATTAGATTGGAAAACACAATTATCTAATGGAACAAATACTCCTGATACATGTTGTCGTATAGTGGTTCCGAATTGTGGTGATAATGCACTCATTACTAGAGATAAAATATATTCACGTGGTTGTGCTGAACCAGTTTATTTTTTTCTACGCAAAAAATTTTCTGCTCTTCTCATCATCGATACTATTCTTACAATATTATTATTCATTAGTGCTGTATCTGGATTTATTTGTGAACAATATATTCGAGAACAATATCAAGTAATGTGAAAAAAGAAAATAGCAAAACTATTTTCTTATGTTTTGGACTATCCAAGTTCTATGATCAAAACAATCTTTTTTTTTCAATATCTTTTTTTTGTTGAACCCAAACTTTAAATAGTTTTTATTCCTTATTATTTTATTAACAGAAAATTAAAATTATTGAATTGTAATGTTGGTGAATATATGTAAAAAAAAAAAACAAAAGCAGTCAATTATAAATTTAGAATCCTATAACAAAGAAATACTCATTTTTCATAATATTTCATAGAACTATTCATCATGAATTGACATATATTTGATATATGGTTCATATTTTCGAAATCTATAATTCTCTGCACATGAATTATACGTACAAGTTAATATCGCTTGTAAGTATGCAATCCAGAAGATTAATTAATAATTTTATTTTGGTAAGACTCAGCAATAGATTTGATTTATTCTCATTCATTATTATTTAAATATATGAACGTCATTCGATGCAGACAACTGAGTTTGTCTAAATGATATGTGTTGATAATGTTTACAGAACTTCTTATGCAATTGTATCTTTCACAATAAATAATTAAAATTGATTAAAATCCTGTATGGGTAAGATTTTTCTGCAACCAAACTTAGACTGACACTAATCGGTACCAAGCAGACACTTTTACAGACATAGTACGAATTTCCAATTTTTATTTTTTATGAAAAGTATACTATTTTTTCTCTTTCATAAATGGCAACAAGAAAAAGAAATTCTTACAAATGTTACAAACAAAAGCAAGTGATGCAGGATTCATTTGATCTCTTTTTTACTTCTAAAATCCTATCGATTTCGCTAAATATACCTTTGCTTGTTGTTAATGATGCTGAAATGAAATGAAATGTTGGTGTTCAATTTTACAATTGTGGATACATACAAGATTGTTTCTTCCATCATGAGAATACATGTTCACCTTTTTTGATAATTAATTTTTCTTCTCAGATATTCAATTATTTCGTCATATGATTCATCATTATTTGTAGATGAATTTTCATTAAAAATGAATTCTTTTTGTAAAATAATGCCGCCTTCTACTTCGGTAACTTGTTCTCAAGTACAATAAATTTCTGAAGTTTTCACTGCTATACCTTTAATATAAATTAGTAGTTTGAAAAAATATAAATATTTTGAAAGTTTCAGATCTTAATAATTGTCGACCAGGACCCAAATATGATCTCATATCCGGATCTGAGCTGACATACTTTTTATACTGAATCAGGCAAGTTTGCACCTGAACCATGCTTTGGAATAGAATAGAGGACACTAAAATTCACTTCTGTATTTTGAAAAAGTAATTGATTTCAACATATAAAAATGTTTAATAAATCAGTTTCTATCGAATCTCTTACGCATTTCTATTGGTGATGTTTAGTATTCAAACAAATGTTTACTTTTTAATAAGTGAAATACAAAATATTAGCAGTTAATTTAATAATGATATGTATATTTTGATAAATGCAGATAAATATTGTGAAGAATAGAAATATTTTTTAAGATGTTTACAACTGAAACAAACATCTTGTTTGTTCATAACATGTTTATGCTTCTTTTTTTGTAAATAGTAATAAACATTGTTCATTAGTTGGTACTATTTCTAACTAATTCAAAATTCATTACAGCTAATGTATCGATTAGAAAATGAGAAATATGATGTATCTATTTCTAACTAATTCACAATTCATTACAACTAATGTATCGATTAGAAAATGAGAAATATGATGTATGGATTAAGTCTACGTGATGTGTTTCATTTTTTTTTAATGTATATTTAGAATAATAGCTTTATTAATATAGATTATTAAAACTTAAGCTAAAGTTCTAGTGATATTTTTATTAGTGTAAGAACATTTAATTGGATGTTTATTTTTGTTTCTACTTTCATTTATCGAATTTCGTCTGAGAATCAAAGCCTACTTTGTTTCAATGATTAAAACAAAAAACAGCTTGTAATGAAACTAACAACTGATTTAAAAACTGTCAGATCTATAAAGAAAAATAACTGGAAATTTACTAGCGTAAAAAATTATAGCATAAACAAGATTATTAAAAAAATTAACAAAACAGATGATAATAAATCTCGACGAAATTTTCAGTTAGAACAAAAATAGTAACGGTCCACTGTGTTAATAGAACAACAAAGTATATTAATGTACACTAGAAATCTTTGCTGGATAAAAAAAATTCAAAAATATTACACATTTTTCAATCTATAAAATTAGATAGAAAGTAAAGCAGATTAAAGATAATTCGATGATAATAATTCATTACTTAATTATCTTTCATTCAAAATAAGTCCTTTGGAATTTGAATTGAAATGACCAATCTAGAGGGAAAACCTAATTCCAATCACGACAGTTATTGGCAAGCGGAAGTTCCACTTCTTCCCTTGCTACTTGATCCAATCAAAGAAACAGTAAAGAATGAGTCAAAATAAGATGTACTAATTATGTTTTGATGTAGGCGTCATCAATGATATTTAATGTTTTGAGTATTTGTAAATGTTACCAAGAGACCTGATTTATGTTAATAAAAGAAAAATGTAGAGCCTCCTTATCGCAAATTTTTAATAATACATATTTGGACTTTTACATAGAACAGTCGATATTTTTTATAACAAATAGATCCTTGTATAACAGTGTTTATCATAGGAATCAATAATAGATGATAGAAAAATAGGTAAATGTTTATTCATTTTATAGCTATTTTTAAAGAGCCTGCAGAAACTTGAAAATATTAATTTGGAATCAAAATTTCGTGTTCTTTTCAAATGTGACATCAATGTTTTTGCAAGACTTCCAGTTTAAGAGTTATGAATTGACACTTTTAGAAGTCCATCAATAAAGTTTGAACGAACCCTATCTCGCCAAAGCTTTCCAGAATGGAGACGAAACTTATTTCAAATACAATAAATGAATGAGTTGATCACGCATTATTTTAAAAATGCTATGTCTTCGTTCATACTAATCTGTGTATCTATGCCATCATTCATGTATAAGCTTCAATTCCTTGGAGAAATCATCATAGCATTGATAGTATTCATTTATTAATCTTTTCTTTGATAAAGATCATCTTTCGATATTATATGTAATAATAACAGTAATATTCCCATGCAAGAAAACTTTAGAATAAATAGAATAATGAATATAAGTCTCAACTGATTTATTGTATTTTCTAAAGCAAATTAATAAACTATGATGATACAAGTCACAAGAATGTATAAACTTCATCAATAGATTTATAGGGCATTAAATAAATATTCGAATAGAGAACATAGAATAAAACAAATTGAAAAATGACTTTTAATAAAACTTGAATTCTCTTTTGTATCTGTGCATATTATGTAAGATACTATGTGTAACGGAAAAAGAGATTCATAGAGAAATAGAACTTACTAAGTGTATGAATTTATCTTGGTATTTTCTTCAAAATAAAGATAACAGCATGTAAAATAAAAATGGCTAAAATCAGATTAAAATCTATTATAATGGTATTCTTTTAATCAGATTTTTCAGCCTTGAAAAACAAATTTCATTTGATTTTGATCTTTTTTAATCTATTTTAATTGATTGAATTTTGCTAACCGATTAAAATAGATTAAAAAAGATTAAAATGACATGAAATCTGTATTTAAGACTGGAAACTTTGATTAAAATCAAATCAAATGGTGCCATTTGTAATAGAGTTTTAATTCAAAAATATCAGATTTTAATCTGATTTTGAGCCATTTTTTTATATGAAAGTTTTTCGTTCTGAAAAAGAAAGATATATCAAGAAAAACTATTAATATTTGTATTTTTCTGATATTGTCCGAAAGCAAGTTTCATCTCTTTCATCAACAATTCTATGACGTTTAATGCTATTATAAGAAAAGATACCACAGGTAATTCTTTTGTTCTAGATCAATGTTATTTTACTGCTTTTAATAAAATAGAAAAAAAAAAAGAAAATGCTATGAAAATCGGAAAGCCTCATATTGTTATCTGAAAGTAACTAAATTTGTTAATCATGAATGAATGAAAATAACTCCAGTTACTATATCATGAATGATTTGAAACATTATTATCAATTTAAGTTCAAACAAACGTAAGAAATAAGTATTATTCGATGATGTTGAAAAACATGATATGCAATACTTCACGTGCATTTTGACTAGAATAGATAGTGAATGCCATCCAACAACTTATTGCCTTGTTGATCTACACAAAAAAGAAAATGTTGAAAACAATATCTTAGTTCATTATTTTCTTCATGATGTTTGCAGCTATCATATTTTCAAAACGACAACATTATCCATACGATAGTGTATTTAATGAAGACTGTATTACATTGTAATCTACTTTCTGTTGTACATTTTTTCTATCATAAGAAAATTTAATTCTTTTAAAGTAAGATATCGTTAAGAAATATAAAAAAACTGACTACAGCATAGTGATAAGGATAAATTTATATGGATTTATTTCATACATTTCAAGAAACAAATATATTTACGATAAAGAATGATTCGATATTAAAAAAAAAAGAATAGCATAATTTACACATCAGATAACAGCAATTGAAGGAATTCCTGTTTGAGTTCACGTTTCATTTCAGCTCTTCATTGATTAGAAACATAATCATTCTTGCATCGTATTCATTCCTTTGTTTCTAACTGTCTTAAAGTTTACTTTGAATAAAACATTTAAGTCATGACTGGAATTTATTACGTTTTTCTATATGCATTAATGAATATTAAAAAAAAAACCATGCTATCTTGACAATTCTCTATTAGAATTAGAACAAAGAATATCTTTAGCGATATAAATATCATATGAAAAATGAATAATATTTCTAAGAAAAAAAGAAAGGAAATGACTTCGATTTTGAACGGATTCACAGTGAATTATTACGTTCTATCGAATTGTCAAAAAAACAATTTTTATTTTTTCTCAAATGATTAAATATAAATTGTCAAAAGATTGGATTTTTTATTCATATTAAATAAAAG